GTGATTCCCCTATCATTTTCCATTCACGATCGGTGGTAAATCGGCACTATTTTCCCTTCCTTCCATTCATCAGGTAAGTAGTCCCCTTCCTGTCCATATCTTGTTTAATAGTTTCCTCATCCTTTCCTTGATACGAAAATGCAGTCTCATTTTCTATTTAAACCCCTCCCGCCATCGGCCAAAAAAGACCGTATCGGTTGATCCCTATTGAGAACTACTTACAAATTGATTTCTCCAGAACTTTTGGTAAGGGGGGAGCAGCGCACCGTGAAGCTCTTCTCCAATATTTTCAAAATTACTCTTATGACTTAACTGCCCGAAATCTAGGATTTATCAATAACTCTGAAGAGGTAGGTACCTTGCCGAGGACATCCAGAATTAGAATTGCAAAATTCTATACATGCGGGGCTGAGTTCACAGACATTCATTTCTGTCTAATTTAAGCAACTCCGGCAAATGAATTGAGAATTAAAAAGAGAGAAAGTTAACGTCGTTACATTTTTGTCATGTGCCCAATGCAAAAAATTAGATCAGGGAGAATTTTTCTCAAGTCACATTAAAATATAGTATGTACTTACTACTTACAACGTACTTAATAAATTCGCTGAGAAGGTGTTTCCGGTGTTCAGATTGAAACAGGAAACAACGATATCCCGACCTTGTTATAAAAATAAAACAGTCTTCCTCAACAAAACGTTCTGAAACAATAATCACCACTAAAGAATATTCTATGCGCCTCCCCTGTAACTAAATCAATTGATTACCACAGCTACTACCTTACAGTTAGGCAATTGCAATGTAGAGGCGAATTGCAAATTGCATAAGAAGCTCGAACGCGTTGTTCGACTATAAAGCCCCAATCGAAATTTACATACTTGCATTCGTAAGAATTTTCTTTGAACAATTTAAATGTAAATAGTCATCCTTGAACTGAAAATGAAGCTAAGAATTCCCCGGCTAAATAAGGAGACTTCTACGAAATTAACGAACTCGTTAAGTATCTTTCTCAAACACGTTTTCGGTTTTAACAAATTAGTAATACACCTACACGTTTCACGACGATTAGACCTGATGGCACGGCGATTATGAAAATGAACGTAAGCGGCAGGAAAACCTCTGCCCATGTAAGGCAAGCAAATTGGAACTGGGTTAATTATTAACACTTTCTTAGTGGCATTTGAGGATTTTTGGTTTATACAAACAGTACATGGAGTTTCCCAATGACTGCTTTCTCCGTAATTTCTTGCGCTTGAGCATTTTTTGGAATAAGCAGCAGACACTGAACATTCAATTATCAAAAATTTGAATCTTTAACATACATATAATCGAGCAGATAATCAACCATTCTTACCAAGTCTATTACAGTATTTTGTCTGTGCTATTCGAGGTGCTATTACTTACCTCCAAATGTGAGGCTTGTAGCCGTTTTCACAACTGTTGCAATTAAGGCACGGTCGTCCATCATCCAATTCCTTCACCTGAGCACCCTGAAAGAAGATACTATATGAGATATACTGTTACATATAAACAAGATCAGGAAACATCAAACAGCCCTCACAGATCTTGTGAGCAGTAAATAACTTTATTTTTGTCATCAATTCATCCCTTAAACCTGAAGAAGAACCAATCCAAACATTACTCAGTACGAAGTATGTATGATCGAAAGCATAAATTGCGTGTTAAGTTGGTCACGCAGATTTTGTTTTGAAAAGAAGAAAAACTCGAATCGCTAAGGTATCGTGTCAGGTGTATATTGTTACAAGCATCATAAATGAGTGTAACAAATAACATTTACGTGGTTGGGTATCGATTACCTCCTTCGGCAAATGAAACCCTCACATTACACCCACGGAATACTCAAGTTAAAGAAACAATGAATGTAGAAAGTTGTCTCTTTAAAACTCGAGATTAGTCAATTTGGTTTGCGGGACTGGTACGGCATGTGCCAGATGCGATACTTGTTACGAAATATTTACAGTAAATTAATCTATCAAGTAAATATGTGTAGAGGAACTTGCACTGTAATTATAATTTTGAGTTCAGGTGTCCCATAAATTATACTTTATAATTGGTAGTAGACAGGTAATAATTATAGAAAATTTGATTTATCAATCTAAGCTAAGCTACCTCAATTAATTTATTTAATTAATTTAATGAAAACACCATTAAGTGTTAGTAAAAAGGTGCACTTTGGGATCATAAAGTAGGTTTTGCCTAAAATCCAGGGTTGGAGGCCGCAAGTCAATAAGAATTCTTCAATTTTTTCTGCAACTCTTTCGTTCGCCCATACTGTTTCGATTTTAATCTTCGAAATCCATGTAGCAATCGCCAGTAAATACAGATAAATGTCTTCCGTGCGGTTAACATTATGAACTAGTGGCTCTTCAAAACCTCCGATGCTCTTTGAGGAAGTAGGTGTTACTTTGTTCGAGCTCCCATTAGCAGTATCTTCGGACGAGGGCATACCAGTAATATTTTGGGTCTCATATGATTTATTAACATCTTGTAATTTTTTTCAGTAAATGATCATTTACTAGAACAATTAGTTTTTTTGCATCGCCAATATATGTGTCTCGCCTAGACGATCTTTCCGCCCTTTGAGAGTACCCTCCTCCGCGAGCTCCTCCGACACTCCGTTTTGACAGCACCAATAGTATGTCTAGTCCTGACCTTCCTCTTGCCCTATGAGTACCCTCTTGCGACAATACGTTCTTAAGATATAAGGAATTATATCCGATCACGATAAGGGGTCGAGGAGAAGGACTATGGCTCGGACTATGGTTGATAGAAATTAATTCCTTTCGTTGAAACCTTTCATTCGAGTACCACTCGGAGTACCATGAAGGATAAAACCAGTCCCCCCCACCCCTCTCTTTTGATGAAATTTAATCCTTCTCCGTTCGGTCGAATTACTCAAATTATTCAATCGTCTGAAGATCAGGTACTTAGACACTTCCCTCAACTTAAAAAGTAGGTAACCTATCGGCGAACTTATCGACAGAACGGATAATAGTCGCAATCTGTCATACTAGATGGCGCCTCTGTTGACAAAGATGTACATAATTGTGGATATAATTTATTAATCGATGCGGCGGATCAGGTTGAAAATTCGACGAACATGCCCGAAAATTCCACAAAAAATACACAAAAATTGCAAAAAACGATAGTTCTAAAAAATTCACGGTACACCTTGTACATTTTTGGATTCTACAGACAGTTTTACACCTAAATAAATAATTAATAATTTACCGATTTTATTTTACTTATTACTTATTTTTTTGTTTAATCGTAGATTATCTAATGTAATCATTTGAAATATATACACGGTGTCCATTTTTCGAGTGCCACTATGGGGATCTCGCTTACCTGAAGAGATAGAGAGTTGGTTAAATGGGGGCAAAGTTGCGAATTTTCGTGCTGAATAATAATCTGAAAGGAAATTAGAAATATTTTTAGTAGTTTTGAAAATATCGCAAAAAAAACAAAAATGTCTGACCTTCGTTTTTAATTTTTTCATGGTAAACTAATCATACTAGACATTTCTAATTATCACATTATTCAGACACTTTTTAATTTTTTGGGAAGAGTGCTTTGGAAAAACAAAACGTTCTTTTATCGTGAACAAAAGTTTGACAGTTTGATCCATCTGTCTGGTTGGAGCGTTGGCAGGGAACTAGTTGTGTTGAGACAATTCGATTTTCATCTGAATAGAATTGAACCTTCGTTTTGCAAGCAAATTATAATTCAAATTAGAACAAAAATACATAAGAATAAATAATATTTTCGCAATAAATCTAGCACAAACGTAAATAAGTCAACCTTTTGTTCACAACAAAAGAACGTTTTGTTTTTCCAAAGCATTCTTCGAAGAAAATGAAAATTGTAATTTTAGGAAAAATGTGTTACTGAACCACCATGTGTGATATATCGTTGTAAAGAGAAAAAAAGACCTAATCTCAAAATGTCAAAATCCAAAACGGCGCCCATAAAAAAATTAAAGTTGCCACGTGTTTCTCCGTCCTCTTAAAAGTTATTGAAAACGGGTTGCCAGATTCGAAATCTCCATTAAAAAGTGTCTGAATTCAAATGTGTTAATTAGAAATGTCCAGAACGATTAGTTTACTATGAAAAAATTAAAAACGAAAATCAGAAATTTTCTTTTTTTTTTGCGATATTTTCAAAACTTTTGAAGATATTTTAAATTTCTTTTTAGGTTATTATTCATCACGAAAATTCACAACTTTGTCCCCATTTAACCAAATGTCTATCTCTTAAGATAAGCGAGATCCCCATAGTGGCACTCGAAAAATGGACACCGTGTATACAGGGCGCTTCAAACTCCCCAGGTGAGACACTGTAATCCTATTTGAAAAATTGACTTACGGACATTAAAAAATAGAATTTGACTATGTTTTGGTCCTCGTAGTCGTATAAATGACCGAAAACAGCCTCGAAAACAGCATATTAGGTGTAAAATTTTGGTTATACCATTGTATAAATTGTTTAAGTATTTAAACAATGGTTATACCAAATTTCATGGAATCGGGAATTTGTGTGTAGGATGCCCACATCAGGAACGGTATTCTATTTCCATATTTTTTGAGAATTCTATGTAACGTACCAACCTATTTAAGGGGATATTTTTCCGTTTTAGTTTCGTGTGACTGTGGCATTTGAACGTACCTCGGAACTTACCGTTTACTTAATTTCAAAGTAAGCGCTTGATATTTTCATTCCGTGAAGTATATAGGGGGGTTTGTTTTCTTTGTTTCGTTTTCCTGTAGCTAGTATGTAGATACCGTTAATTAATTTGTGCTTCCGCGGGTTCCGCTCCGATTTGGTAGGCCATCTTAGAAATCTGCATTTGCCTCGACCCATTAAGTAATAATTGCCCTCGAGATTGCCCTTGAGCTTGATAATCTGGATGGTCTCTATTTACCACTAAGTGACCCATTTATAAGGAAAATAAAATCCTTTTTTTTTCGTTATTTAATAATTCCACAACAGAATTTCTCGATATTTATGCGCATTTAATCACTTATAATTGCACAAGAGGTTTGTATTTTACCGAATAAATTTGGGTTGTTAAGGTAATGAAAATCTGTTGCCTAGCAATTAGACGAGAAAAACTGTCAACTAATAAAAATGCGACACCGAAGGTGGAGCATTTTTAGTTTGACAGTTTTTCGAGTTCAATTGCTAAAAGGAAACAGATTTGAATTGCAACAACCCAAATTTACTCGGTTTAAATATAAACCTCGAGTGTAATTCGGCAGGACAATTTAACTAACAAGAAATTCACCAAACTAGTCAATTATTGACAGACGTCAAGCTAATCATATGGGAAAGGATAATGCGATAATTGTTCCAAAATGAAAAGTGAAAAAACCACTAGTGCATTTGTCGCTGGAAAAGTTGCAGGTAACTTTTGCCGCTGTCAAAGTGACAATTGCACTGCGGCTTATGCGATTTTTTATACATGAGTTGAATTGTCTCTATAATTATAACGGTGTCTGCGAGGGTGTCTCTATGAGCCCATCTGGACTTGCACCATGGCCAGACTTATCGAGCCATATTTCATTTTCATATTTTGTCATACCTTCCGGTCGAGAGCTCGAAACGCTCATTCCTGCAGAGCGTGTTTTTCATTATCGCGACCCCATTCAATACTTTTAATCCCGTTTTATTCCATTCTAATTACTTATAACGTCCTACAAACGACAAAATAATGAAGATGCGTTTACTTCCAATTCAATATTTCGTTACCCCTCAAATATGTAAATGATAAAGGGAGATATTTTTTTCTTCTACATGCTTGTAATCTCGCTTGTAATTATCTCAAAACGGTTGGCGCTCGGGTTGGCGTTAACCTGTTTTTGCGTATAAACAGCAAATTTTCATTTTCTGGCTGACCTTTGGTTCAATTTTTAACAGACACTTTGTACGAAGCAATTTTATTTTATTTGTGGCAAACTCTCAATGCTGAGATCTAAAACGTCTAAAACCTTTTACGAACTATATCACATAGTTTCATCGAGATAGCCATGGAAGGTACAAAGTCTCGGTACAAATGTAGGTGAGTGAAATTAACAGTATCATGTGCAATATGATATTATACAGGACATTAGAGCATGGAATTAGGATGGGATTTAAGTTAGAATGGCAGCAAGATTACTAAATTTACAATGGTATTAACTAGGGATTAATTATGTCATTTCGTTGACCTCTAGCTCTAGGTCAAAACATTTATTGGGAGCCCAATTTTGGCGGGAAAAAATCATTTCATATACGTGTAGCGCTAAATAAATAAATGCAGACAATTTCATTTTACAACAGCTGACCAAGTCGGTTTACAAAATAATAAATAAACCGAAATTGTCCTCGTCTGCAAGGCCAAAATTGTCACTTTTCAATTTGAACAAGTTTTTGATTTAAAATCAGGCACGGGATAATTAGTTCAACGACATTAAACTGAACAGTGTAATAAACTAACCGAGCAATATCGTAATGGACTTCCTTTAACAGGAAGTAAAAATGTCACTCAAAGGCTATAGAGGTGGATAAATAAATAAGTTTCCTGGTTTGGCGCAGCTTGACTTTTACCCAACTTCACAAGAATGTTAAAATGCACCTCAAAATATTGAGGGAGTGGGTGCCTTTGCCTTATCAGAGGGATCGTGACTTTTCATTATTATCCCACTGAGAATAATCCAAGGCAACTATCGACTACCACAGCGACTTGATTTGATTAACCGATTCATCGTCATCTGGACACGGCATAACCGGTAGGGTTAAACGTGTGGGTGCACCATATGTAAAATATCGAAATTCATCAATATGGCACTTAATCATCATACTTTAATATAGAAATGATATCATGCACTCTTCAAATGAATGCAGTTGGATAACTTAATCCCGAAGTTTAGTCACGAATTCTAATTAACCCCGCAGACAATTCTCAGACGAGCAAACGTTAGGCGCCTGCCGCTTTAATTTATCACCTCACTATTTAATAAATTAAACGTGCACTGCACGGGCCTTACCTCAGGGTAAAATCTCTCCTCGGTCATTCGAATATTAGTGCCGTCCATCTCGGAGGGAATCAAAGAACACAGATGTACACGACACAAAAAGCGACACACAAATTAAGGATTCAATCAAAATGAAAATAATCGGCGGTATATTATTTATAAAAACATGTTATAGTTAAAAACAAAACCAAGAACAGTTTATAGGTTAGAATAAACGGAAAAATTAAACCTACCACATTCTACACACGCACCAACACAACTAAAATTCTAAAATCAAATTCGTCGCCTGATACCGGCGAATACCGACATTCGAACTGCCCTGCTCAACCGCTTGCATAACTCGCATTCGTAATCATGAAATGATAAATTCCAAGACGATAGGAATATGAAAAACTGTCATCAATTATTTGCATTGCACATTTACGATTAAACAATGCGCTATTATTTACTATATGAACTGAAAGAGATCCATCGCTTAGCCCCCTCCCCAAACTTTTTCCGTTTTATGGGCTCAGTTCATGGGAGTAGGCAACTTCCCCAAATATCAATCCCGGTGTTCGCGTTTGCACAAACCATAGCTTTTGAAACGAGAGTTATAGAAGGGTGAATTACTAAATTATCGTCAATAACTACCCTTCTTAAAAATAATTTCAAATTGTAACCTCCCCGGCCAATTATGGGTTGTTCTGAAAATCACAAACTCAACGCAATTAACAAGCTGGATCAGCAAAGTTCTTGTTCTATGAACAGGTGGGGCGAAGTTCCCTGGCTGCCGAGTTTTAGAGGGCGAGAATTTGCATTCCTGCATAAAGAAATGCCCGAAGCGTCGCAAATAACAATAGATACATTAACATGCGGATGCCCTTGCAATAGACACTTATTACAACCCCTTCCTAGACGAGTTTCTATCAAAAACACTTCTTCATATGGGTAACATACAGTTATTGCGCTTGCCTGATGTTAGAAATAAGAGATTGGAGTAATATAGGTAGGTACGTTGAACCACCAAAAAGCTTTGGTTGAATGATAATTTCTAAAGTCTCTTGGATCCTTCGCGAATAAATATGCCATTTCCCTATGGCCCGTTCTATCTGGGACACACTGTATGTATCGAAATGAATAAAATCGGATACCGAGCTACCTTAGAAAACAAGGAAAACCTCCAAAAAATATTTTTGAAGAAATGTTGCCTGTATACGGAGATGATTGCTCTTCTAAGTCAACTATTTGCGAGTGGTCAAAATTGATTAAACATGGTCGAGATGTTCCCCATCTAGGGTACCCTGTTAACGTGATCACTTGAGATGTAGAAAAAAACCAAGTCTTTGGTATTGGAGGATGTAAGACCAAAGAAACGACAATTGGCAGCTTCCCTAGGAGTTTTTTTGAGTTCCTTATTGACAAGTATTCCGTGTCGTACAACTGACGCTCGAAGACATATTGAAGATGGGTCAACCTTTGTTTTCGCCGATGATGGGAAGCCCTAATAAGTACCTTAAATTTTCGCGTGTCACTTGCGAATCCTGTACTTTCGAGGTAAAAAGGTAGTGTATGAGACGGATCACAAACCCTTATAGTGGCCTCCTTTGTGCAAATTTTTCAAACAATAAAGAGCTTGCTTTCCCCAAGATTGCAGACTACTGTCCAGTACACCTAGGAAAAAATCTTGTAATACTTATAAGTTGTTATATACCTATATTTTTGCGTTTGCGTAAGGGACAGTTTTATAAATTATATCATGACTTAAAGGCCCATCTGAAATAGTATATTACGTATTTGTATTTGTATATTTTTATATTGCCAATTGTAACAGCAGAAATTACATAGAAAAGAATAACAACTAACAAGATTGACAAATTACCAATATAACATAATGTAAATATAAATAATATGAAACAATATAAATAAAAATAAAATTATCTACAGATACCTATACTAACATGCCAACATAACTACGGAAAGCGTTTTCTTTTTTTTTTCAGGAAAAGGCAACGACAACAAAGGTCTTACGCCTAATTTATTCGTGTTAATCGTTACTTCTTATTTATAGCGTTTTAAATAAATTGATATTTTTTAGGAAATTTCGATAACGAGATGTAGTCACTTAAGCAATAAAATGTATATTGGAGTAAAAACTGTTTGAGTTTTAACCTAAACTGTCTAAAGGTAGGGATATTTTTAATTGCGTCTGGTAATACATTAAAAATTTTGCAGCATTATTGATAAATTAAATTATTCTGGAATAATGCTGTCCTATGTTTACCAGGGTTTAGATTAGTTTTATGTCGGGTGCTATAATTATGTACAGGTTGAATAAAGCGAGTCTTATTTTTATACCCGAAGCAGCATATTTCCAAAATGTACGTGTCTACAACTGTTAGTATATTTAATTCTTTAAAATATGATCGGCAGGAAGTTCTGAAGGGTAGATTGCAGATGGTTCTAATCGCCTGTTTTTGTAGTATCAGCACGCGTTGTACTTGAGCACTACCACCCCAGTTTATTATATTGTACATAATGTGCGAGTGAAAGTTCGAATGATACAGGGTGAGAAGCGTAGATCTAGTGCAAAGATTTTTAAAGCATTTAGAGAGTAGCAACAATTTCGCAATTTTTTACATACGTTATCAATATGCAAGGACCATGTAACATCCTGACAAACAGTCAGGCCAAGTATTTTTGGCAGTTCCAAGATTGGGCTACTAGTTCAATCGAAAAAGTACGAATTGTTTTGGATTCTACGCACCAAAATTAATAAGAAAAAGTGTTTTCCCGAGAAATTTTGGTGCAGTCGATTTTTGGTAAANAAAAAAAATTGTCTCAGATCGACCCGGGAAAAAAATTTTCTTATAGAATGTGGCCTGTAGAATCCATAATTTCAAACAGTTCCAAGATTGGGCTACTATTTCAAAAGTTAAAGCTCTATGAATTTTCTTTCGAAATTGGTTTCTAGTCTATAACTTTTGATTGAGAAGTCGGATCGAAAAAGTACGAATTGTTTTGGATTCTACGCATCAAAATTAATAAGAAAAAGTGTTTTCCCGAGAAATTTGGTGCAGTCAATTTTTGGTCAAAAAGGAAGGTTATACACTGCCTTTTTTGGAGGCCCGCTCAAAAAATTGTCTCAGATCGACCCGGGAAAAAAATTTTCTTATAGAATGTGGCCTGTAGAATCCATAATTTCAAACAGTTCCAAGATTGGGCTACTATTTCAAAAGTTAAAGCTCTATGAATTTTCTTTCGAAATTGGTTTCTAGTCTATAACTTTTGATTGAGAAGTCGGATCGAAAAAGTACGAATTGTTTTGGATTCTACGCACCAAAATTGATAAGAAAAAGTGTTATCCCGAGAAATTTTGATGTAGTCGAATTTTGGTAAAAAAGGAAGGTTATACACTGCCTTTTTTTGAGGCCCGCAAAAAAAATGTCTCAGATCGACCCGGAAAAAAATTTTCTTATAGAATGTGGCCTGTAGAATCCATAATTTCCACCAGTTCCAAGATTGGGCTACTAGTTCAAAAGTTACAGCCCTTTGAATTTTTTTCTAGTCTATAACTTTTGATTGAGAAGTCTGATCGAAAAAGTACAAATTGATTTGGATTCTACGCACCCAAATTAATAAGAAAAGTGTTTTCCCGAGAAATTTTGGTGCAATCGATTTTTGGTAAAAAAGGAAGGTTATACAATGCCTTTTTTTGAACCCCGAAAAAAAAATTCTCAGATCGACCCGAAAAAAAAATTTTCGTATTGAATGTGTCCTGTAGAATCCATAATTACAAACAGTTCCGAGATTGGGGTACTAGTTCAAAAGTTATAGCCCTTTGAATTTTTTTTCGAAATTGGTTTCTAGTCTATAACTTTTGATTGAGAAGTCTGATCGAAAAAGTACGAATTGTTTTGGATTCTACGCACCAAAATTAATAAGAAAAAAGTGTTTTCTCGAGAAATTTTGGTGCAGTCGATTTTTGGTAAAAAAGGAAGGTTGTACACTGCCTTTTTTTGAGGCCCTCAAAAAAAATTGGTCTCAGATCGACCCGGAAAAAAATTTTCTTATAGAATGTGGCCTGTAGAATCCATAATTTCAAACAGTTCCAAGATTGGGCTACTAGTTCAAAAGTTACAGCCCTTTGAATTTTTTTCGAAATTGGTTTCTAGTCTATAACTTTTGATTGAGAAGTCTGATCGAAAAAGTACGAATTGATTTGGATTCTACGCACCCAAATTAATAAGAAAAAAGTGTTTTCCCGAGAATTTTGGTGTAGTCGATTTTTGGTAAAAAAGGAGGGTAATAACTGCTTTTTTTGAGCCCCGAAAAAAAAATTCTCAGATCGCCCCGGAAAAAAAATTTCTTATAAAATGTGGCCTGTAGAATCCATAATTTCAAACAGTTCCAAGATTGGGCTACTAGTTCAAAAGTTACAGCCCTTTGAATTTTTTTTCGAAATTGGTTTCTAGTCTATAACTTTTGACTGAGAAGTCTAATCGAAAAAGTACGAATTGTTTTGGATTCTACGCACCAAAATTAATAAGAAAAAATTTTTTCCCGAGAAATTTTGGTGCAGTCGATTTTTGGTAAAAAAGGAAGGTTATACACTGCCTTTTTTTGAACCCCGAAATAAAAATTGTCTCAGATCGACCCGGAAAAAAAATTTTCTTATAGAATGTGGCCTGTAGAATCCATAATTTCAAACAGTTCCAAGATTGGGCTACTAGTTCAAAAGTTACAACCCTTTGAATTTTTGTTCGAAATTGGTTTCTAGTCTATAACTTTTGATTGAGAAGTCTGATCGAAAAAGTATGAATTGATTTGGATTCTACGCACCCAACCCAAATTAATAAGAATAAGTGTTTTCCCGAGAAATTTTGGTGGTATTTTGGTAAAAAAGGAAGGTTATACACAGGGGCGGACTGGGTACTTACGGGCCATTAAAGTATTAGTGTAGTAATGAAGGTGGCGAGGGGGGGGGGTAGCTCTGAGGTGCACCACAAAAACATTTTAAAGTACTCCTTTTCTCGAAAATCAATTACCATGCAGTTTTTTTTTAAATTGCAACTGATAATTAAAAGTAACAAAATATACAATCCACACGAGGTGCGTCGCCTATCATTGTATTTCAGCACTTTCAAAATACTGCGACAAAAAATGATAAATTCATTGTAAAACACTTCAATTAAAACAGAATTTTTAAACAACCCAACATCAACCCCAATTAGAGAAACGTGTTAATAATTTATTAATAGTGCAAGAAACTAGATACAGCACATACTTATAAATTCCCAACGGGCCATTATGATCTACAGGCTAGAGGTGACAATCGCCACCCGCCCCCCCGTGCCAGTCCGCCCCTGAGTCACTCTACATCCATGGAAGAATCACTTTTCGCCATTAAAAATAAGTAAGGAATTAAATGTGTAGCACAAGGGAATAAACTCAAGAATAAACTAATCGCAATGTTAGCGAGTTTGACGTACGCCTACTACGTTGATGTTACAAGAAGATTAGACTACTACGAAAGCAAAACGTAACATGCGATTTGCTTTCTACTATATGGTAAACCTTATGAGAAAGCAAATCACACGGGTGCGTTTTGTTTTCCGTTACATTTTACCATAAGTGAGCGAAATTGTCAATTTTCAAGTTAACATAATTGTACGACATATCACATATGTCATTTTCAATGTCTAGGAAAAAGTGTTTGGTTGCCCGGATTTGCAGTTGCGTGTGCGCGCGTTTCTGTTTGAGCCCATGGTAATCATCTGGTGCAGCCGAACTGAATATTGCATGTGGGCGTCTTTAATTTCAAAAAATACAATTTTTTTAAGATAATATTTTGATCTAGTACTAACTAATCTTCAAAAAGGTTGTAAAAATGTCAATTAGATTAAACGGTCGGTTCCCGTTAGCACCTTCTATGGGCCCTTTTTTCTTAGAATCTGAATCTGTTACCAAGATTTCCATAGCACGCTAGATGTAGAAGCTACAGCCTATATTTTCTTATGGACGCCATACTGGAGTTTTACGGAATTAGAGGACAAAAAAAATGATGACGTGTCACACTCTGCCTTTGTCATTCCGTAAAAATTCAATATGGGGCCCATAAGAAAAGGGTAACATGTAGCCTTTACATCTAGAGGGCTATGGAAATTCTGATATCAGATTCTCCAAAAAAAAAGTACCCATAGACGGTGCTAACAGGAACCGTCATTTAAGCTAGGAAGTCAAAACGAAATTTGACATTTTCAAAGATTCTAATGTTTTTTAGTCACAAAACGGGTTAACTTTGCCCCCATTTAACCTACACTGTGTCTCTCATAATTACCAAGATCCCACTGGTGAGCCACAAAAACCACCCTATACACCAGAATTCAAAAAGCAAGCAGATATTCTTAAAAATATAACAAATGACCTTTAGGCACATTTTGCTAGCTTTTAAGTCTCTGATGGAATCCTATCGCATGGCACCAAAACTCTTATTAGAGAACTTGCTACATAGAAAAGAGGGTCCAGAACTTAACGGGGGTGGGGTGCACAACACGTTACCAAAGTAAAAAAAATTATGCCAATACAGAATCGTCTTTAATAAACATACTGGATCCAAACTGTACAGAAAGAAATACGTATTGTTTGTACAATAAAATAAGTAATATAAAATCAAAACTATCTATTTGAATTGAATGTGCAATGTACCTACTTTCGATACATTAACTCGACAGGGTCAGTAATTTACGGAATGACAAAAAAAACTTACATCCACACATAAAAACTAATTGTACAATCAAATTACTAGAATCAAGTAGCAGTTTTCTCTTATTATAGCACAATATTTTACTCAGATTTATCACTGGAGTTCAGCCTCTTCATTGACTTAAGAGCTTTTTCTCGCAGCTTCTTTTCATCTTCGTTTATTATTTCTAAATCGCTATTTTCAGACTCGTCGGACTCTACCTTCTTTTTCTTATGTTTCTTGTGCTTCTTCGAGTGCTTCTTTCGTTTTTTATGTTTCTTATCCTTTTTTCTTTTCTTTATCTCTAACTCTTCTTCCGAGTCGGAACCCGACTTACTCGCTTTAACCTTCTTATGCTTCTTCTTTTTACTAGAATCGTCTTCGCTATCGGACGACGATTCTTTCTTATGCTTCTTGGACTTCTCTACCTTTTCGGGTTTCTCAACCTCTGAATCAATGTCGGAACTGTCATCTCGTTTCTTACTTTTCTTTTCAACTCTCGGCTCGTCACTATCACTCGAGTCATCTTTACGAGAGCGCCTCACCTTCTCAACCTCGGAACTGCCGGATCTACCACGTTTACGTTTGTATTTCTTTTCCTCTTCCGTATCTGAACTAACGTGCCGTTTTCTGCGTGGCTTCTCCTCACTGCTGTCGCGTTTTGATTTTCTGTCTTTCTTTTTCGTTTCTTCTTCTCGATCTTTCTTGTTCCGCGGAACTTCAACCTCGCTTTCACTACTGCTTGTTTCGCGTTTCTTAGATCGCTTCTTAGTTCGTACCTTTTTCCTGCTCTCTTTCTCCCGAACCGGCTCACTTTCAGAGCTGCTTGAATCTGTATCCGACTCGCTTTTCTTTTTTGTGACTTTTTTAACTTTAGCTTCAATTTTGCTATCAGATTTCTCTTTGACATCTTTCGATTTCTTGATTTCATCTTTGGCGCTGGCGGATGATACTTTCGCAGACTTTGGCGGGAATTCATTGGCTTTTATAAATGGCGAGGGAGTTCGTGATAAACTTCTAGAATATCTAGGGGGCCCGTAAGGCGGAATAAGTCTTTGTTTATCCGCACTTCTACTTCTAGATTTAGACTTTTTCTTTTCTTTAGTTTTAGATGTTTCGCTAATCGCATGGATATCGGACGCACTACTTTTGCGCTTTTCCTCAATTTTTTCCAGCTTTTTATCGATTTTGCGGACTTCGTCAATTTTATGTAAATCGTCAGTTTTGCGCGACTCAACTATTTTTTTACTTTCTACTTTTTTAACTAACGGTTTCTTTTCTCTCGATTCGTCAGGGATTTCCTTACGTTCGGTCCGTCGCACAGGACTAGGGCTCGGTTTCGGTATGGGTTTCTCTCTCGATTTTGCGCGGACAATAGAGCCTCTCGGGATATTTATTCTATCCTTCGAAGGTCTTCCTTTCTCCATCGAACGGCGCTCCTTAGATCGTGAACGGCGATTGTCACGTGACGGTCTGGGGAAATTTCTGCCTCTGCTACGACTTCGACGTATTGGTCTACAAAAGAAGAAACAAAACAGTGTAACGCCCGAAGAAAAAAACGATCAATACAAAATAAATAGGTATCAATATAAATTGCAATGAAGACCAAAGGTTTACAACAAAATCGTAGTAAATTACAATCTGAAGAAGCAATTTAGCTTTGGTCAAGAATAACGGGAATATAAGGAAAAGGAGAGGCGTTTCTCTAAGTAAAGCACCAACCTATCTCTGCTTCTCCTGCGACTAAGACTACGCCTGCGCCTGCTTGGACTGCGACGGCTCCTGCTTCTGCGACTTCTACGCCTGCTAATGCTTCTTCGCCTACTTGGACTGCGCTTCCTACTGTAGCTTCGTCTTCTCCTGCTTTGACTTCGTCTTCGGGACATGCTGCGACCGCTACGTCGTCGCGTGGCGCTGTATCTCGTTCGGGAAGGGCTGCGCCGCCGTCTGCTTAAACTACGCCTACCCCTGGAAGGACTTCGTCTGCAAAACAATCTTTCGTCATCTCGCAAATATGAAACAATTTTAATCTAAAATTAAAGAATAAAGAAAAAATATTACTTTCTTGAAAGACTCCTTTTACGACTTGTACTCCTTTTAGAATAACTGCGTCTGCGCGATAAACTTCGTTTTCGCTTCACAAGTCTGTCGACACTTTTTTTACGTTTAGGCGATCTAGAAATCGATTTTCGTTTCTTAAGTTTGTCATTATCGATATCACTGTCAGACGTGTCTTTGTTAGAGCGATAATGACGCTTCTTCTGAACACTGTTCTCCTTCTTGTGAATTTCGAAGTCACTTTTGGAACCGGATGACGATCGCGATCGTTTCTTTTCCTTTGCTTCCTTGATCCGCGCGTGGATGTCACGGCCCTTCGAAATAGACTTGGATCGGCGAGAACGACTTGAAGACCTCGATTTGGACTTCGATCTAGATTTGCTGTGTGACTTTGAACGCGATCGAGATTTGCTTCGAGATCGTGAGTTGGATCTTGAACGCGAACTCGAAGCCGACTTCCTGGCGTTGCTTCCCGACATTGACATTAGCTTTGCTTGCAATTTTGATACGGACTGAACAGTATCGCTATTAAAAAGAAGCATACTTATAATTAACTAATACTACTTTTGACCCCCCCAAACCCCTTCCATACAGTACAACTATTATTCTTATCTGAAACAGTACTATACAAACTAACTTAAAAATAGTAAAATAAAATACTAAATCCTTACTGATGTTTTAGGCTTGGAGCGTTGTCCGACTTGGCCGAACTAGACCTTCCATTCTTCTCCCTATCCTCATTGACTTTGTCGCCTTTGTCGCTTGGGCTCACATTGCCATTTTCTTCATTACTATCCATCTTCATTTTGTCAATACTTTTAGTTTGCGATCGCCTGTCCTTCAACTTTTCAGGTTCCTTAACACGATCAAGCTCTTTCACCTTTTCCAAAGATCGTCGACGCTGTCTAGACCTCGACCGTGATCTTCGCGATCGTGATCTATCGCGATCTCTATCTTTATATTTTTTCTCCTTATCTAACTTATCCCTATCCTTCTCTCTTTCTTTGTCACGCTCTTTGTCCTCTTTATCCTGAAATCATGAATGTTTGGTTGTGTATGGACCTACAAATTATGATGCCTGTCACAATATATGGCTCACCGTGTAAGAAAATTACTCATTAAACATTAAATTGAGATGTCCACAATCAGTATGTATCTTGGTAGTGATGCACTAAAAATAAAGTCAGGCATAAACTTGAAGTAGGTAGTAATATTGATAGAATGGAGTAATTTCATCAGGTTAATGTAGGTAGAATGAGGTAGATCACATGTTAGGTTTTACTGAAATGGCGGTGGTATCTGTCGATAATTAGTCTAGGGCCTAGGCCCACGCTTCTCACACACCTCATTACCTACATTGATTTTTTTGTATTGTATCCTTTTTAATAAAACATTTTTTCAAACCAGAGCTGATAAATAAATTGACCCCCCCCCCCTTCCACTAAAGCTAGGTGGGCCGCCAAATGCTGCTGTTTTATCAAGTGGGTCGCGCTTCCAAAAAGATTGGGAAGCACTGGTCTAGGCTATATAATATTTTTTTTCTATTTCGGTGTCACAATGATGATTTTGTACAATTGTTTTCGGCCGAAAACAGTTGGACAAAGACAGTGATTATAGTCGTTTTTTTTTGGGAACTCATCTCTTAAGTTGGCAGTTACTATTTAGTACAAGTAGGTACTTCGTTGGGTACTTCCATGTTTAAACTTCAAAATGTCAGTCTTACTACTCTGCCAACCTAAAACTTAACGGCATAAAAAGTGTTCCCAACATAAAACATGTTAGTTCTAATGTTTCCTATAGTTTCTGATAATGATTTTTTTAATTAAATTAAAGCACCGAAATAGAAAAAATAGTATGAAAAACGCGTGTTACAATGCTTGATTGTAATACTCCTATCTTGCGGACACTCGTGGCTACGCTTCGCGTCGCCACTCGTGCCACAAGATAGTCGTATTACAATAGGTCGCATTGTAACACTTGTCTTTCAATATACTATTTTCATCGTTCAGAGGTGCGCGGGGTAGCAAAATTTTCGGGAAGACTTATATTTTAATAAATAAAAAAATATTATTCCGATAGCAAAAAATCGAGAAAATCGCCAAAAACCGGAAAAACAGTTTTAAGATATACACGGTTTTTGACTTGATAAATCAACATGTTGGATGTTAATAAAGATTTTTTCGAAATCTCTCTTCTTCTTTCCCTTTAATGTTTGCCTAAATATTCTCTTTTGTTATCTTATGCTCAACTGTTTTAGTTAAAACATCATTATTATTTCTTTTTTCTGCATTTTTACCGCAATAAAAGCAATTCGCAATAAAATCGAATTATGTATCTTGCTTCCTGATTCTTGAACAATTTATTTTTGTTCACTGACTCTTCTTCCTGCTTGTTTTATAGCTGATGCAATTGCGTTGGGCCTGTTGATAAACTTGCAAAATCTGTAATAAGAACGTTGGTTTTATCGGCCAAAAGCAAATGATTTGAGATGTCAAACCTGCAAGAATAAACTTTATGAGGATTTTATTCATAATTCCTGTAAATTAACGATCAACAGGCCCAGCTTAATCCCATCAGCTGTAAAACAGGCAGGAAGAGAGAAAGTGAACAAAAGCATATTGTTCAAGAAGCAAAAAAATTCGATTTTACTTCGAATTGCTTTTATTGCAGTAAAAATGCGCAGAAAAAAGTAATAATAAAGATGTTTTATTAAGGCAGCTGGGCACTGGGAAACAAAAGAAAATATTTTAGCAACATTAAAGAGGAGAGAGAAGACAGATTTCCAAAACTTTTTATTAACGCGGATCCAACACGTTAATTTATTTGCAAAAAAGCCTACTGTCAAAAACGGTGTATCTTAAAACTGTTCCCCCCGTTTTTGCCGCTTTTCTTGAAATTTGTCTATTGGAATAATATTTTTTATTTTTGATTATTAAAATGTAAGTCGTTACGAAAATTTTGCTACCCTGCGCACCTCTGTACGATGAAAAAAAATAGATTTTTCATCACCTTGAAAAAGAAGTGATTTTTTACAGAAATCGTGAGATCTTGGAAACGGTTCAACTTTATGGGCCCCAACAATTATCTTCTGTTTTATCATAAAACAGGTTATGTTACCTCCAAATTTCAAATCCCTACATTTTTTCGCAAAAATAAGAATAAAAAACGAAAAAAGCAGTTTTTCCGGTTTTTCTAGGAAAATTGGAGGTTATGTGAAAATAGTGCAGATACAAAATTTGCTCATTTTTTTAATCTCTATAACTTTTACATTCAACATTTTCGTCTAAAATCAATAGTTTTGCCACAATTTGCAAAATACCACTTCCCACCCCCGTGATTTCACCCGCGGAAAAATTCAGCTGTTTTAATTATTTTTTCCCAATTCCAGCTGCCTGAAAAACCCGGTTTCGCCCAGTAACTAATTTTTTTTGAAAATAAATCATTTTAGAGCTATTTAGCCTGGACTAAATGTAGAAATTCATCTAACATGTGACGTTACCTTGTACTGATTATGTGCCAATACAAATCCGTCTAAAGCGCACAATGGAGCAGTCACAGACACATAAGAAAGAAAGAGAAACCACTCCTCCTTGTACAGGTAGACAAAAGTCAGTAGAAAAGTAATGGCGTACCGAAGAAATATAATTTGCATGTAACCAATGTGAAGGCAGAATCTTCACTGAAAGGAAGTGCAGCGAATCCGTATGAAAAAAAAAGGGTTGGCATTAAGTGCAAAAAGGTACAAAGCGTGAACTCCAGGGAAAAGACAAAGATGTATTGTAAAAGAAACCATTAACACTCGAATGGTCTCTAGCGGCGTAAAGAGTGAACTAGGGTAATAACAAACTTACTGCAGGGAATACCTAGATGGCGTAATAATTTACATAAGAAAATCGAAAGGTTACTTAAATGGAATTTAAATCGAGAATATCAATTGGTAAAATTTATATTTACAAATTCTCGAATTAACGTTTCTGCTTCCATGTAATTAGCTCATAATTTCTACTTAATACAATACAAATGATTTGTATCATAAACATGTGTAATTCCACTTTACAATCGTTTTCAAAGAAATTTTAACACACCCACAGCGCGAGTTTTTGAGGTCACAATCTCCCCGGAATTATTCACCTCATTTCCGGAGAGATGCATGCGCACAAAAATCTAAACTATTAAAGATAATGATTTAAAGCTGTGGCTTGAATGTAATGGAGTTCCTATTCCAGATGAACATTATATCGTCCACCAATCCCCCATAGGGCATTGATGACCCATTAGAACATTGAAATCAAAAAACCACTTTTTCCCAAATAACTCCGCAGACTATAAAAAATTGTCTAACCTCAATGTATGTTTACAACTTATTGATACCGACAAGTCTGCAGAGAAAAGCGAGGCACCTAAACACATGCCAATGGTAGGTCCAACTATTCAGACATGTTTTTAATAAATGTGTGATTATTCGCTGGCCAACCAGAGTCCACTTACCTGCTAATAATACATTTGTACAAAAGGCACATAAGATGCAAATATAACTCGACAACAAATTCGTTAGTAAATAGTCAATTCTTATAACATAGCTATAAAAACAAATAAATAAAACAATTACAAAGAAAAATAAAAAATATCTATTCCGTCGCATTACGAAAATGAAACAAGCCATATATTGTGAAAAGCAATCCCATGAATTTGAAACTTACGCGCTTCTTTAGCAGCTCCTCCTTTTTTAATTCCAGCAAGGAATCCGGTATGCCAGTCGGATTTTCCTGCGCCGATATCAGCAACTTCCACAGCTCCGCCATAAACTCTCGAGCATTTTTCCCATGCAGGAAGCCGGTCAGATTAATTTGTATCTTCTTCGGATCGGGATACTAAAACAAATTTTCCCAATGCAACTCTTTGTACAGTAACAAACAGTTTGAAAAAATTTAAACTTCATCCATTGCAATTCTTAAAACTTTACATTTAACAGTTTAGAAAAAAAAAAAACAAAAGACAGTGTAAGGCAAACCAATTCCGATGGCCAATGTTTGCGTTGTGGGCACAACTGTCCATACTTCCGCTTTGAAGGTCGGGTGGCAGTTGGTACCAGCAAAGCTGCAAAAAGAAAAAAAGTAATAGAGTGCAATAATACAAATGTTGAAAAATGAAGGTTTGCAATACTATCGAACTGCTACTGATCATGTGGCTGGAGATGATCCATTTGGTCACAGAATGTTGTACGCTGTACTAGGACGCTTACATTTCAATGCAGGATCTTGCAATCTATACAGATGTGGCAGGAATTGTTGATTGATTGGATGAAGTAGACGACTGCTTGGTATGGTGTAGTTGATCCGTGATGGTGACTAACTTGTATGGGTCTTCTCTCTTCTTATTTCGTTCTTCGCAAATTTGAATAATTTGCAAGCAAAGGTTCATTCTTGGTGCTGTTAACCGAAAGCAGGTAACAGTTGAGTGATGTTCCAGGAGATGAAGGTAGGCTGAGAGATGTTTGGCCCTGCGGATGCTGTTTCAGCGTGTATTCTTCCTATGCAGCTTGAGAGGAGTCTGAACCTGCAGTGCTGTTGATTTGATGTCTGCTGGAACAGGCACAATGACGGTCCTCGACTGCTCAGCTTAGATGATGGCACTGAAGACATCACCCAAACGCGTTGCAGTATGGACAATTTACTGAAGGTCTCTAGAAGCTACTACATAAATTATAATTTTAAGAATTGCTCATGGAAGAATGCTGTTTAATTACAGTAGAATCCAGGTTATTCCATTTTTTGATTGACAGAATATTTAGACTGATCTGATTGCAATAGTTGTGCTATGTTTACTATAATCAAGATTCTACTGCGCGCAAAGTACCACAGTGGCGATGTATAAATATATCACACACGTAAAAGATTTGCGTGACAGTGGGCGCTCCAGGGATTTGTTTATTATGAGATCTGCGTCGTTCATGGAAAGGCAAAGCACATAGTACTCATTTTCATTGCTATTGCAACATGTTCATCAATACTGATGATTGTTCTTTTTCTGTTGATATAGGTACTCTAATGAACAATCAAAAGTGGTATAAAATGCTAAAAGAAGTAGCCCAATATAACTTCAGATATACAATTGGAACAACCATGAGAACCAAGCACAGGAGTCTCTCGGATGTACTAAATCTTTGACCTTTGATTTTTGCGCTTTTAGATCAAAAATTATTAGCCCTGCAGAAAGCAATATTCCAACAATTTCTATTCTCACAAGTTTGCATCTATTATTGCTCTCGATTCATCTCCTGCAATTTGCCTATTTCTGATCACTAACGTAAAATTGTGCGCTCAACATTTCAAATTTACTCTAAATCAAGTGAAGATGATTTAAATGGTTTTAAAATTATAACCGATGACACATAAAACAGATTTGAGCAAGTAGATCGCCAGATTTGACCATTTCTGATTTTGATTTGTCAGGCTCTGTCACGAGTAAAGTGTACATAACTCAATCAAAAACTGTGGACAAATTAAAACGGAGTTCAGGGTTAAATTGGCAGTATTCCAGCTGAAATGTTGCAGAGGCCGATGCCCTTTTTCAAGATGTACGTCATCTTTCTTCTTTGAGGCACCCTGTATACTACAATATTTTTACACTATGCGCGTTTAAAAATATGTTGTACAGTATTTTTTTATTTTGCCTTTATTTTTGAGTGGAGAGATTTAAAAAAATCATATTTGTGAGTGTATATGGGGCCCCAATTAGATGCACTACTCGCAAAAAAACTGTTAATTATTCACGACAGAAAAAAAGGCAAAGAGATATACGACATTGCTCTTGGTTTTTTTCAAGGACCTGCTAGGGCTTGATAAACTGTATGTTAGCGATTTCATAACTGTCACAGTTACACTGCCATTGATACAACCAAAGAAACACGGTGTGGATCAACAACAAGAAGTTAATAATATACACTGTGTCCAAGATAGAGGGGGGGGGGGGATTTCCGAAACTATAGAAGATACGACGATGGTCAAACTAGGACTGGAAAGAAAACCAGAAAATTCCGATTACTTCCGAAGATGTGCCAAAAAAACCGTAATTCGTCGATTTTGTTTTTGCTTTCTGCTGATGTTATTTGAACAGATACAAAAAAGTTAAAAACACTTTCTTATTGCTAGTTTTGAAGCTCTACAAGACACAGTTGCGAGATTTTCAATACAAATCAAATCAAATCATTTATTGTCAGAGTACCAATGTGGCTTTGACATGTCAATAATGCAACTGTATTATATATTAAGTAGCATTTTTTATTATGAAACAACGATGTACGGCGCAAAAAAAACAAAAGTTGGAAACTGTTGGTTTCAACAGGATGGTGCACCTACGTACATCATCAAAAATCATGCGAGAATACCTATAGGACAAATTTCCTGGGAAATGAAAAATATGTTCGGTAGGTATTCTCGCACGATTAGGGTGTTGTGTGGGGTGCACCATCCTGTTGAAATCAACAGCTTCTAACTTTTGATTTTTTCTGTGTGCCGTACATCGTATTAGTAATAAAATCTGCCACTCAATACAATCCAAAAAAGTATATAGAGAAAATTATAACCGATTTGTGAAGTTTATTTATTTCATTTGGCGATGCTTTTTATTGCTGTTATAGACAGTTTAAATTCATAATAGTCAATAACCCAATTCTAAAATTTCAGAAGGAATAGGTAGACTGACTGCCAGGCACAAGACTGAAAGTGAAAGATTCCCTATAAAAAATTCGCCGGGGCTAGCACAGAAGCCTACTGCCCCCCCTCGCATACTGGATTCGGCCCAAAATCTTTTCAGTGTCTCCTTTTATGTCTAACAATGTGTGCACCAAATTCGGTTCTGATCGGTTTGGCCATTTAGCCGGAACAGTACAGACAGACAAACCGACAGACATCCAGATATTGTTTGATTCAAATTCTTGGAACTCTAAAACCTGTATTTCCGCCAAAACGGGGGGGGGGGGCATTTTTTTACCTGCGGATGGTAAAAATATGGCAGTTTAAAAGATTTTTGAGGAACTGTTTGGGAATATTATTAATTTAAATTAAAGGAGAGTGTAGGTACTGGAAGACAAACATGCAATACAAAAACCCGTTGTTCTAATATCGCACTCATAATAAAAAATTCAGTGTTTGAAATTTATAATGTTAGATACTTACCTTATACCACCCATGTTAAGTTAGGAACACCTCTCTGGCAATAGATTTGCATATTTACACTAAAGTTAGTAATAACTATTGAGCCCTAAATATACAAAAAGGTCCGAATCATAATCCTTTTTTTTTATTTTTTAGAACGTTGGAGTGGTTCAGGTAAGATACATAGAATTGTATTTGATCTCCCAATCCCAAGACTTTTATTAAACACCATGCAAAGCAAACATTTGAAATACTTTAAAGACAAAATTAGTATATTAGGAGTTGGGGTGAATTACATTTTATAATCGTGTTAAGGTAGAATAAATTAGAAGATTGTATTTGGAAAGGAAAAGTTGATATTTATGTACTATCCAACAGAGCAGACATGTTACATATAGAAATATAATCATATTGTGTGCTGTATTTTGTTCACATTTTTATTGCCTTAAGCCGGCCCTACATTACATGGCAAACTAGACTAACGTTGGTGATGTAATGAATTTGCCACATAATGTGTACAAGTCGCACATGGCCAATGTTTGCCTGGAAGTCGGTAAAGGAGGGGGTAACCTTCAAAGGACATTCAGCAGAAACATTTGCAATAATGTTATCAAGTATACAAGTTCGACACGTAATGTGTATGAACCACTTGACAAGCTTTCATTTGACAACGAAACTTGTACATATCGCAAACATTGGCGTTTGCTTAGTGTTCCATGTACCTAATATAGAACCAGCTTTACCCGTACTCCTTAAAATTTCACCTCAATATTGTGAAACATTAAACCTGTGATAACAATTTCTGTGCCGCCCTTTCCTAGGGGCTATGCAAATCTTATGCGTAGTGTAGCACTCAAGCAGGTTTGTCAAACAAATTGATATAACTTGTCCTTGTATTTAAAAAGGCTGTAACGCAGATATAGTGCACAAGGCTACAACTTCAGCTGCTTCCGTGATCATTAATGTTTGGTATATGCAACTAATGCAACATGTAATTTTATTTGCAATAAAACAAGTGGTAAACATAATTCATTAAAATGAGAGTAGGTACTTGTCTTTCCTTATCTCAAACAAATCCAATGCAATTGGGAAAAATTGATTGTAGAAAAACCTGTTTTCACACTTACTTCAACTTTACAAATGAGCAATTTGTTTTGTTCTCATTCTCAATTTAAGTATGAAGGGAACAAAGTATAAATCTCATTGCAAAGTTTTCCTACAAAGAATGTGTACTTCAAAAGTTATATATCGCAAAGATGGTTAACTAAATAAATACGTAACAAAAGAAACATATTCACTTAGAAAACCGTTTACCTTCTCGTCAAGTTGATTATAAACAAAATCTACGACCACATCGTCGTCGATCTTCAAGATTTCTGTGATTTTGTCTTGAATCCAAGGTTTGATTACATCCAATTTTATCTTCGACATGTCAACCTAGAACGAATGTAATTACGAAGATAATCACTTTCGTCTTACGAACCCTTTGACTTAGACAATCGCTAAACTTCATTTGTTTAAGCAACTTCTTCTCCTTGTCGCTGAAGCGATTGTCCTGTTCGGTGTTCGTACCCTACAAACAAAGGTGATGGTGACGACAAAGTAATATAAAGCAGTGTTAGTACTTACAGTGTACATCATCATGAAGGTTTAAATGTAAACTTCAACCTTTCGAATAGAACTAATCCACCAAAAACACACACTAAGAGAAAAAAGTTAGGGGGGGTAAGAATTCCGACGTTAACGTGCCGGTTTCACACGTCCACAAAAGTTAGATCACCTTAGGTATTGAAATACATTATAAAGTTAGATTGAAACTTAGAAACGAGATAACTAAGTATAAAAAATGATCATATCTTAACATCATTCAATACACACAATCTCGAAAATCCATGCTACGGTACAAAATGGCGTGGCGTCAAAAACAGATAATGAAATTGGCGGACTCTACTTTATCGACCGAGTTATATCTTGATTTATTTATACAGGATGCGAAAATCGTACACACTTATTAATCAACATTCCATTGATTATACACTCATTACTTAGGAAAGCGATTACTTATAAGCCGAGATTTCGTAATTTGACGGAGATTTTTTATGGCACGAAGCGATATTTTTGGGTGATGTTTTGAATAAACGGGAAGCTGCAAATAGTGGGATTCCGTTACGTATTTAATCAGAGGGTGCATTCTAAAATCTTTCAAGAGCCTTGTAAAACTCATCTGCAAAGCAATCTCTAATAACTTCTAGGTGCTTTAGTGAACTTTATATCGCCTCTACTATCGCCCTTCCACACATTTTCACACCTTTTACAGTTTGATAGTCAAAGATATCTAGTTTACGGTCTTTCGAAGAGACTTTACGGCCTTTCTAGAGCTATTTTTACTTTTTCTAAACTTTTCTTGATTCGATTACCTCTAAAAATGATTATGACCTATAAGTCGTGGAAATTAAGGTCTAAAATACCCTGCAAGAGACTAGACACATTTCATTTGAACGGATTAAACAATTTGAAAAACTCACTAAAATGCTTTTCAGCGTACCTATAAGTGCTTACAAGAGCGGAGCAATTAATTGGTTTGCAATGCAACAAAAACCTTCCAAAGCTTTATCGTCTTTACAGAGCACATATACCTAGCTATACTTTGATTAGAGGTAGAGTGGACAAACTATACCAAGAAGTACCTATATGGCAATTTTTCAATTTTTTAGATTTTCGAAATTGCCGATTACTATCATAGAAGGTGGTTTTTGGGGGTTAAAAATTTTCTAATTCATCATTGTATCGCTAAGAATTTTGATGTTTTAAATTTATTTACGAGGAAACCCTAGGCGGAAGAGGTTCTAAAAGCTCTTTTCAGAGATGTTAAACATATCTTTCCAGAATATTTTACGTTATTCCGAAACGACCCGGGTGCTGTTTAGACAATTATTTATTTTTATTTGTGTGAAACTTATATGCATACCTTCTGAAGCGTCCCAGAGCATTCTCAAAACTTTCCAAAGTCAGAGTCAGAGAGCCTTTTATGCGTTTTTTTAATGGATTTTCGGTGACCTACCAACTTATTTGTTTTATAATTTAATATTTCCCATAGAAGCAAAAGGTTCATGTATTTGTTAAAAATCTTGCCACTAAATTTATGATCTGTCCCCTATTTTCAACTTCCAGTTAAGTATAATCATTGAATAAGCACCTTATCTATATCAAAACACTCTTAGATTATTATTTATCTATAGATGTACCTATATATTAATATTTCCATGTTTCATATCTTATACATATACACAGTGTTTATAATTATATGCTTTTCACAATTATTTATCCAGCTCGGACTCAAAAGTAATCATTTTTCTATAGTAATCTCTCTCTCTGTTTTATTAAAGAAAACATACTTTGTATCTATGATACCAAATAGGTACAAACCCATAAATGAATATTACTTTCGAAAGAGCGGTGCATTATATTTTGCATTGAGGTCTTCTTTTAGTTAAAACAAAGTAAAAAACTTTAGTGTGGGGTATGCTATTTTAACCAGAAAAAAACTCTCTCCCTATTAACCATTCCCAAAATACAATTTGGCCACCACTAAAAGCTATTTGCCATAGTGTAGATGTGCAGGTTTTAGTCTATTTTGAGTTAGATTACTCGCGAGATAGATAATTTTAAACTTTGCTGATTTACAACTTGTTTATAAACGTATGGCATTGCCGGCTTCAGTGTTGTAAGTCCTAAGAACTTATGGTAGGCAAAGCACTGATGAGAATTAAGTTTTTACCTAGAGCAGATTATATTGATTGGGTTCCCACACGTTTCCCAGCCTCACTTTTAAAATAGGAATAGCTTTTGCAACAATGAATACATAAGTTACAAAACTGAAAGGTAGGTTATAGTAGTGTTGCCTGTTGGAGATGCAGTCAAGAGCACGGACGTCCTACACCAACTACCAAGTTCCTGACTACACTGAAAAAAGTTTGAAAATTTCCTAATTTTTTGGGATTTACTCATGCGTATGATTATTGAAAAAATGTTTTCAAAAAATGATATCTGAATCGTAGTGTATGCGTGGATCAGAAAGTTGAGTTTAGCATTTGTACTTACCAATTCTGTACATTTTCGTTTCTCTTACAAAATTATCCAATATTTATTAATAAATACCTAAATACATAGAAATATCAATCACTAAACTTAAAATTATATACATTACAACAGACAATTAAAACAATATTAGCACTTTTAGACCATGACACATTATTCCAACTTCAAGATAAACTATAGTACAGAAATAATTGTTTACAGTCTAGGTATCGAAGTCATCGCGTTGGCTTCTTGATTTGTGTGAGAAGCGTACTTTGGTCTACATACACAACCGCTTTCCACTAATACATAATCCTGGCCCGTTAGTGTGACTGGTCCCAGTGGAATGACCAAAAATAGATATGGTACATAGGTTTGGGTACATTCACCTCTCACCACGTCACATTCCGAACTTTCGCATACCTAAAAAATATCTCAGTTTATTGAAATTGTCCCTTTTGAACACGGTTGAATCTGCAATTATCCAGTCAAAAAGGGGACAAGTTGGTTGAAAAATGGCAGAGCATTTTTGGAAAAAGAAGGAGTAACAGAGATGTGGGGATGCAAAACAAACTGCATCAAGAAGACATCAGAAAGAGGGTTAATAATAAGCTTATTAAGATATGGGAAAGATTAATTTACAAATTATTCAGTGTAAGCGTTGAATATTGCTAAAGAGGATACAAAAAACCTCGCAAAAAACGTAGGTATCGTTGCAAATTGGAGAGTTTGTATGGAAAGCTATATGGATCTGAGACCACACCAAAATTATGCCACCACAACATTAATTCCTATCATGGTATTGAGCGATGGAGTTGAGAATGAGATACTTGCAGGTCTTCTTATGACACAGTTTACATTCGCAGTATACCTAACAAGTCCGCTGCATGAAGAGCCGCAGAATGGGCAATTAGTGTAGGTAATTACAAGCCATTAAATTTCATGGTTTTCTTACCTCAAACACCACCTGTTGCAAAAGATCTGGAAACTTCTGCACAATGGTAACCGGTTGTCCTGAAGTGAGAGAAACTCCATACAGTGGAGCAGTTGTATTATATCGCGTCTTACATAGACGGGATGGCGTAGAAAAACAAGACGTTTGTGTAGTCCCAGCAGCTCTCGCTGTAAGACAATAGGAACATTAGACTAAATTAACTGTGAGATTAATTAACACTGTTCATTTTTTCACATAAATTAGCAGCTCTTAATAACTGTAATTGAAAGAAACAAGCAAGATTCTTTCATTGTTAATTTTACATTATATAATGCAGTTAGATAACCTACATTTTACCGTAATTTGACCTTTACCTTACTGGAATTATCTAATTTAAGTGCACTACTTTACCACCAACTCGAAATGTGAAAAATCTCACCTGTCCGAGAAATGGTCGACGGCTCTCCTACGCCGGAATTGAGCTCGTAGGCCGACAAAAGTGCCTTTCTAGTTATAAAGGGGTCAATTGTCTTCTGTGATCTACCGGTCCTCGAGCTTCCCGACCACAAATTTGTACTTCGAAACGATCTGTTAATTGCCGATCTAGAAAAATAAAAGCGTTATTCAGATATGGCATAGATTTCGCGGTTCACTTACGATGGATAGGGTAAATTATTTGGACCTATGCAATCGTGTGAATCAGACAGCGCGTCACCCCAGAGGTATTTTAAGCCGGAAGCCCCTTCGCATTTCGTTGCATGCGTTGCGTATGTATAAGTAGCATAACAGACAATTACCTGGAAACAAATTTGCATGCATCATTATTGAAGTTCAGGAATTCGAAACGATGTAAAATCATACAAAGTAAAAAAATTTCAAATTAATTGGAGCGACCTACACCTACTTTTATTAGAAAAATATGTGTACCAGTTTTACTTTAATGAGTAATTTTGCAAACTATACCAGATCAAAAGCTGTACTGTGATTCAGCACTATAACAATAATATTAACTTGTTTGTTATTAAGAACGCGTTTAAAAACTATTGTATATGACAAACGACCTAATTAAGGTGAAAATCGTGACTATAATGCAAAGGACTAGCGATTTGCAGGTACCTACCTACTGAAATACATTCAGAATTTAATTTCACCTGGATTCTAAAGAATACGTAACATTACAATTACCCATCGATCAAAATATGTAATTTGTATCATTATCTTTTGATCAAAATTTAAACAAGTGAAGTATTACCATTGTATTTATATAAATAAATGACCATTGTATTACCATTGTTTAAAAGTATTTATAAACAATGGTAAGCTTTTAAAAAAGTTATAGGATTCATCGATGTCCGCATAGCCAATAAGGGTCATTCGGTCTACTTTGCCATTTTAGTAGAGTAATAAAAATTGACACTTATTTACACAAAATTTGAACTATGTTACAGTAACAATGTTTAGTTAGCAATCTAAACAAATTGTATGGGTTTTATGTTTTTAAAAAGCGAAGGGTATTTTGAGACATTTTAATAATTGAACAAATTAGTCCCGTAAACCATATACAGTACCTACAGTATATATACAGTACCAAAAATAATGGAAACATAACCGAAATGCGAGCCGAAAACGAAATGTCATCTTTTCTTCGAATTTTGACTATTTTAACACTAACAAAAAAAGCAGTAAAGCATTCGCATTAAAACCATAATAAACGCGAACTCGATCAACTTTGAAATGCCGTATTTCTGAACTCCGTTGGTCAACAAAAAGGTCTTAAATTGAATCTAAGATTCTCTAAATTTGAATCAATATCAGAAACAACTCATCAATCAGGTATACCGCATCTGATACAAAGGCAACCGTCCTTTAAAGGACATAGCGTTACGGAATTATACAATGTGGCGGTCAAAATATGGAACAAATTCATTTAAAAATCAGGTGCTATGTTTCAGAAAATGCTTACATTTTGTCAAAAAAAGGCTAATTTGTGTAAGAGTATCTATCTACTTGAATAATTGCTATCTAGCAAAAGATCCATAGATTTTGGTATTTACACGATATTTCATTTAAAATAATATTATGTCTTAGCATAGAACTAGAAAATAATATTACAACCAGTAATTACATGGGCTCGAATCAGAATCATCAATACATACGATTTTAATGAGGGTAGGTACAACAAAGACTTCTGTATGTGAACAATATTTAGTGGCAGTTGCGTCCCAATTAAAGAGTATAAATGGTAGGACTTTTTACATTCAGTCTTTTGGTTAACTTATGGGGTTATGGATTATTCCAACCAATCCCAATGAAACACTTAATACCGAACGATCCTCGTGTTCGTGTTTGGGCTGTAAATTGTTAGCCAGTTAGTCTACGTACCTGAAATAACACCCTTTCTTATATCCTTAAGAACGTGTGTACCGATTTTCGAAGCGACCTTTCTAAACAAAGTGTTCGTGCGCACGAACAGACAGACAGACGAACTCGCACATTAGAATTATTTGTTTCCATGGGGTTAATTGGAATAAACCAAGTTAGCAAATCTGTCGCGTAAATGAAATTCAAACAACTGGAATATCACATGTTCTTATTGAATTAAAGCGATATGGAAATCAAAAGTAATGTAAGGTCCGATTAGTGAATTGAATAAACTTTAAAATAACGTCCATGTGCCACCAAAACTATTTTGGAAGGTGGGTACCAAATCTAAAGGGACGAAATATAAGCAAATGGGTTTACATTTGGTCCCCTTCGACATCTAATATCATTGAATATCCAGAGTTGGACATTCATTGCTAATATCCACAAATTCCTGCAATTTTTAGTGCATTTTATAAGAATTAAACATTTAGGGGAATTGTCCTAGTCTCCTGAAATGTTTATACCTTGAAAGTGTGCCACATGGCCATCAAATATCGTTGTCTTAATTTCATAAGAAAGAAAATTATCCACACGCCATTCCTAAAGAGTCACTTCTACATGAATTTATGTGAAATACATCATTACAAAAGATTTTTTCAACTTTTCTATGAACATTTCATGATTTACTGCTACAACAGTTACAAATAAGTTGTGTGGTTTTACCAAAAACGGGTGTAACAAGCCCTTTTAGCGCTCACCCTATAGGTACATCACAAGGGTAATCAGCGGTTAGTTTTGCGAGAGAACAAAATGTATGGAAGCGAGGGGCCTAGAGGAGTTACTTATTCAATGATACCACCAAGTAAAGGAGAATTCTATGATCCACTTTCGAAAATCATTATTATCTTTGCTCAGACGAATGAAATATGATGTGATGCTGGAGGTCCATCCGGCCCTCTGGTTGTATGTTTTTACTATAAACGGGATAACAGTCCCTTATAGTGCTCACCCTATACATCACGAGGGTAATCGGGGTTAAAGTTTTGCGAGAGAACAAAACGGATAGAAGCGGAGAGTCTGGGGGTATGTATGCAATACCACCCAGTAAAGGAGAATTCTATGATCTATTTTTTACAATCATTATAAAATCATTTGTATACTGAGACGAATTAAATATACGTATGCTGTTGGGTTTTCTATACCCCCAGAACCCACGGTTGTATATGACTTTACTCGCTGAAACGAAATGCCAGTTCTATTGGCTTACGTTAGTAGCGTGTAGTTTCGAAACCCATTTATCTAACGTTAAAAATATCATAAAAAAATGTGCGATGGCAGCGCCATGTTTATTAAACACAGGAGGGGCGTTTGAGGAAATTTCAAAGAATATAGATATACAATGTAATTTTTTACAAGAGAAATTGAACACACGGTTCATGACGATCAGTAAATGGTAGGTACCTACTTCAAATTGTCTTATACAACCAATGTTAGGTACCTACCTACTTCCGGTAGAAACAAATAAGAACACTTCTTTTTCAAAAAAGAAAAACGATAGTCTTCCTAAACATTGCGTAATCATAACTAATTTACTGAACTACATAAAAATTAAAAAAATCAAGAATGATTGGGTGAAGAGAGAAGACCATCTTGAACTTTCCTTACCGGTACCATTGAATAAGTAATTAGGTATACTTATTCACAGAGACCACTAAAAATTATGGGAACGCTTTGAAGAAGAATTAAGTTTAGTTATAAATTCAATGGTCATAGTTCCTTGTGAACATTACCTGATTACTCTTTCAGAAGTGATATTTGTGAAATAAATAAAATCCCATGTTTTAAAAAATAAACGGGCGATTGGCTTGCATAGATCAATTTTGTTATTCTCAAATTGTACTGGTATTATCAATGGTTAAAAGACGAAAAATTAGTATTCTGTAAGTATTTTAAAGCTTGAAAACTATGAGAATGTCAATGTTGGTGCAAAATAAATAACACAACATTATAGATGCAATGAAATATTTGAACCAGTTCCCGCTTAGATCATACGGTACATTGGTCAAGAGTTTCACTTTAGTAGCGGAAGTGGCAAATCCTTAGGAACTTTTGGCGAATATTAATTAAACCGCGTCTTTGGGAACAAGTTCGTTTATATTTGGCCAGGGTCTACAACCCCTAACTTTCATAATAACTCTATAGGTACCTGAAGTGCAAAAGCGTATCCTCTGGTACACCGTCCAGTTCCCATAAGGAAAAAATGTTAGGTTGATGACTTTGATCTATTCTTAATCTAAAGAATTTTTTTAATAATTACTACAGCACCTAAAACCATATAATTTCGGCATGTTAATAGCGCACAATGTCTGTTGTGGAATTTGCTGCATCATTGTTGTATTATAGATAGGCAGTAGTACCTATATATTTATATAGGTACCATGTAAGTGCCTACAGAGGGGGGACGCTATTTAAATCCAATTTAGTGAAAATTTTCCTTAAAATCCGGAAAATTGGTCTTCGTAAATGGTGTATAATGTCGCGTTCTTAGACAGATTGTCATTGACATCTTTTTACCTGACATCTCTTAATCTGATGGGAATGACCTGAGTTTAGAAGAATGCAAGTTTTTTACTCGCAATTGTATAATTCTGCAGTTTAAAAAGTGAAATATTTTACACTTTCAAGCTCAACCACCTTATTCTTTAGTAAAATGAAAATTCACTGTATAACGGCATCGCAATCATTTAATTTAGTAAATTAAACGGCAATTATTAATATAACTCGCAGTACATTACCTATAGTGACTTATTTCTTTAGTGAGGTATTCTGAGCATTGACCTCACATAATAACTGTACTTCAGAGCTCGATGTGGGCTCCTGCTTTAAATTTACATATTCATTTTGGTTAAAAATGCGCTTGCAATTGTGCATAAAAATTATAAACGTTTAAAAAATCAATGCAGAAGGGTAGGTATATACTTACAGCTATCAAACATGAACATATATTTTTATCCATAGTATTTTGAAAAATGTTATTAGGATGATGAATGTCACTTGAAATGTATCTTCAGTTTAACATTATCACCAACTACTAAGCACCGTATTATTATATCGTTCTAATTATTAGACAATTAGTGATTTAATGTCTTCATATAATGGACAAATGGTGTTTCAACAACTAACAGTTCTTAAGAGAAATTTGCGAGTATTCTTTACAGAGGAAGCCGCTCAAGTATGTCACAGTACTAAACTCAGCCTTGTTCTTGAACTTGACAGAAATTACTGTTTACTTGGAAGGAGAATCAAGTACTACAAACAGGTGTAACAAGGTAGAAAAGTAACCACTTCCTATCGCATTTTACTGTAGGCAGGTACTACCGTACCTATATTTATGCATGCCACATTTTCAATAAAACAATAAAAAAATCACCAATACTTAATTTATACCTTTATATTTGAATATGATAGGTCTACATTTAGGTACAAGATTTTTCATCCCATCAGTAATATTGCTGGCAGAGAAACAAATTTATTCTATCCTTACAAAAAGAACTGAATCCTTGCTGCCTTTTGGAATACCTATATCCGATTATAATTCCCTAAATTTCGATTACAATTTATGTTTTCCAACTGTGATTCACGAAAAGAATATCTACTAAAAAATCAATACTTCTTTAGAGTGATTTAGAATGACATTACTAAGACATGCGACTTAATATAACACCCAAATGTTTAGTAGGTATAGGCTTTGAATATAATATTCAAAGGTACCTATAGGTACTCGTACCTAAACCTAATAGATGTACAGAAAAGTTTAAAACCATTGCGAAATTGTAGATATGTAAGCAACTCGGAGTAGCCCATATAGGCATCCCGTTTTTAGCGCATTTTCACAAAAATAAAAAAAATGCGCTATTGTGGCCACTTTGTCCGTCCGTTCGTTCGTTGAGACGCTACTAGTTCTTTGTTCTACTTTTTTCGCTATTTGGTTCGTTATGGTATCGAGGCTTGCACCAAAAAAGGAATTTTTTCTGCGTTTAATGCTAAAAAAGTTATTGTATAAAAAAACCGTTTTTTACATGTTCCATAATTTTACACTTTTGCCGTTTATTAACGATCCGAGAGATCGTTTATAATTTTGTATTGCTGTCTGTCGTCTGTTTGTTGGTCTGTTCCTCTGTCTGTCTGTCCCTCTATCTGTCCGTGTGAACGATAATTTTGTTTAGAAATGTCCGATCGCTTTTAGATCTCCGTTAGTTATGAACTCGGTTATGAACTGAATTGCATGAAATTCAATATGGGCATAGCTTTACAGTCCATTGAAAAGTTACATTTAGGGTTGCGTTTATCAGAGGAGGCAATTTTATTTTTCAGATATCAAAAGGGGGGCTAGTCTAAAGTTAAATCCGAGTTTGTGGGGTTGCAGCCCTTGTCCCGCGGCCGCCATCTTGAAAAAAGGGGTGCAAATGGTTTTTATGGTTTATCTGACAAACTATTGGTCCCACAAAAAATTTATTCAGACATTTTTGAATAAAAATAGAATTTTCTACATCTTTGGTTCGGTAACTTTTAGTCATAGAACCAAAAATAACAAAGCTATAAACGAAAATTGATGAACATTTTGTAAACAATTTTGAATTGGTCCTTATAACTTTTTTTCTGGTCATTTTACAAAAAAATGACTTCAGATCATTTTTATAGAGGGGTTTTCATGGAATAATTTTTATAACAAACTTTTTCAATTTTATACATTAATTAAAATTTTACAGCGCTGCGAAACTAATACAATTTTCTAGTATTCCTAATCAGAAATTTCTTGGTAGAAGAACAAGGCTAATTTCATTGTACTTCTCAAAACTTCATTCTCAGAGGTGGGTTTCACTGTCGACCAAGCACAATCCGATGCAGACACTCTCATTATTCATTCTGCTTTTGCCGCATTCCAATCGTTTGAGTTACTATTGTAGCTGAAGATATCCACATACTTGTGTTGCTCACAGCTTTTGGAGCAAAGAGATCAAATATATATTTTTTGAAACCGTCAAAAAGACGTATAGCCGAACAATTGTATTCTCCGTCAAGTTTATGCACGAACACGTCATTGTGGATAATTTGCAGCACCATAATGCACATATCAAAATTAATTGAAGAAAATGATTTTGAAGATGAACCGCCGACAATGACGCCATTTTCTTCTCTGGTTTTCCCTCAACTATTTGATATTGAAAATCAACAAAATCATGATCTGCAAAAAAACCAAGGAAGTAATAATGTCATGTCATTTAGATTTTAGAACATTAGGAAGTTACGTTAAATCATTAATATTTATGTACTTACAGTTTAATACTGGAGCGCTATAAAATCTTAATGAATGAGTAAAATTGAAAGTTTGTAATGAAGATTATTCCTTGAAAACCCCTCTATTAAAATGCTCTGATGTCGTTTTTTTGTAAAATGACCAGAAAAAGTTATAACGACCAGTTGAAAATTATTTACAAAATGTTCATCAATTTTCGTTTATAATTTTGTTATTTTTGGTTCTACGACTAAAAGTTCAAAAATGTCTGAATAAATTTTTTGTGAGACCAATAGTTTGCCAGATAAACCATAAAAACCATTTGCACCCCTTTTTTCAAGATGGCGGCCGCGGGACAAGGGCTGCAACCCCACAAACTTGGATTTAACTTTAGACTAACCCCCCCTTGATATCTAAAAAATAAAATTGCGTCCTCTGACAAACGCACGCTAAGCCCAAAAAAATGTAACATTTCAATGGACTATTAGCCATATAATATGCAATGCCAAAAGTTGAGTCGAATCGATTCAAAATTCACACTGCCCTTTTCGCATCTCGACCATTTATAAACCGAATTGCAAACTTTTTTATTTATAAAAGTATTTGAATGAAATTTGATACATAGACACTTGGAATAAATGGCACTTTTTCGTAAATAACTAAACAGTGGCCCATACCAAAAAATGTTGTTATACTTAAGTAATCTACATAAAATTCTCCACGAGAAGGGGTCTATACACACTATTTTGCTGGCATCAATATTTAAAAAATTATTTAAGGGGGGAAAATTAATTATAATCAATTCTACCCATAATGTTGCATTAATAAGTCTAAAAGAAAGACACAAGCCACATGAAAAGAGAGCCTGTTTTTTAAAGTGGAGAACAGCACCTATTTCCGGCTATCATGGCAATGGAGATTCACAAATGGATCTGCCGCAATCCTCAGTACTTTTAGTATGTTGTTTACAATACCTTCACCTATACCAAAATTCACATTTCTACAAATTATTTCGTCTATGATTCCTTTGTTGAGTGGACTATAAAGCACCTTTAAAGCCCGCTTGACATGGAGCAATAAAAATTGCAATTGCATGCAAGTTGCAAGAAAAATTGCGAAAGGCATGCGCAGTTCAAAGCCAGCTGATCAATTGCTGCAAGAGACTTGCATGCAATTTTTATAGGACCGGTGCTATGTTTCTTGCATGAATCGTGCAATTCTAGGGATAAATCAAGTTGTTTTTGTGGCACCAACCTAGTAAAATACAGCGGCGGCAACTGTGATGCTGAGAGACGCACTCATTACTTGTTTTTACTAATCTTATTTATTCTTGTAATTTTCATGTTTCTTCAAGCAATCAGAATTTAATTTTCATTTGAGGTTAACAACTTTGTTGACAAATCCATATGTTTCTTCTGTTGGCAGACATGTGGCAATTGAAATAGAATTGGACCATGTCAAATACCATGCAATGCTTATTGCATGCAAGGATTTGACCTTGCAATTTCTTTCTGCAAGTTCTTGCGCGTAGTATTGCTCCATGTCAAGCGGCCTTAAGCTTTTTATAAAACAAGATTGAAGTATAACATAGTGTATTCTTTACACTATGGAAAGTGTCAGTTCTATTCATTAATACAGTTTATGCTGTTATCCTATTAATAATGTAATTACACTATTCTTAAGTTAATTTGAAACAAATAAAATACAAAAAGTTTGTTCACTTTAATTCAATCATAAACAGAAAAGTACTGTTTAAACGTAACACTAAATGACACATAAAATATGCTTATATTAAAACTTATAACTAATCATCGAGCTTCATTTTTTTAGCTTGTGGATGTGGACTTGGAAACTCACGGCTATTCCTATTGTTAAAATTTCCTCTGCCACGGAAACCATCGTGCCCCCTAAATCCTCCACGGCCCTGCCCACGTCCACCACCTCGCCCACGTCCGCCACGATTGTCGTTAAACCTACCACGAAAACCTCCCCTGTTGCCGCCTCTAAAATTCCCCCTGAAACCCCCACCTCCTCCCTCGCCCCGTCCACGCCCGCCACCTCTATTGAAACCTCCTCTGCCTCTAAATCCTCCCCTCCCCCTTTTAAAATCGAAGTCGGCTTCATGTTTAGGTCCCGAATTCATCTGGAAAAAAATTACCGAGTAGAAATGCAGGTGGTACAATTTATTAATGAATTACCATGTGTTTAGCCGGTTGTTCGTCTGGTTTGTCATCAGAATCTTCTTCCTCTTCGTCTGAATTGTCCCCTTCTGCATTTAATGTGTCTGCTTTCGCATTTAAACTATCATCTTTGGCATCTGCCTCGTCACTCTCATCATCTGAATCGTCACTTTCCTCTCCCAAATCTGAGTCTAACTCATCAGCATCATCATTTTGTTCTTGACCTTGACCGTTATCTTGTGTATTAACATCGGCATCTTCATCATCAGAATCGTCATCTTCCTCTTCGCTTTCATCATCATCAGGCTCGGTTATTGACTGTGAACTTGTGTTTGCTTTTTTATCCGGAATGATAGGTGAACTGACAACAGCATGTGCTTTGTCATCACTGATGTTATTCGACTGACGTTTAGCATTAGCTTTTGAGAGGTTTGATGTGAAACTATTCTGCTGTGCTTTCTGTACGTTCTCATCACTATCGTCATCAACTGCGTTCAGTTTGAGTTTCTTAGAAAGGGGATTAGTCTTAACGAAGTGGTTAAATATAACTTGAATTTCCGGTGAACCCTTTGAAAGTGTGAGCTGGAATTTTAAAAGGGAATCCGCACGTGAATTGATGTTTAGTTTGGAAAGCATTTCGAACTTACCGCATTTGTTTTTTTTCTAAACTCCTTCGCCAATTTTCCATCTACTTTTTGTAAGTAATTTAAAACTACGGAGGAAATGATAACATCCACCGTGCCCATGTTAGAAGTCATTATCAATCAACGAACACACGAGGACGGAAAACACAAAATGAGGGTATGTAAATCGTGACGCGAATAGAGGTTAAGTTTGTAAACCACATGTGGTAGAGATGCTATATACATGGTCGGGCATTTCATCATGTCGTGACCGTTTTAGAGCTAACTTCATATAACTAACTAGGTATACTTGGATGTAATTAAAGTATATGTACTTGCAAAAATGGATTTATGGATCCATTTGGGGGTAGATAGGTACTATCTATAAATAATTGATACCTACTATCTTGTTTTCCCAAATTATATGTAAATTGAAGTTTATATAAATAATTTAGAGAGAGACAACATTGCATCTATTATTTTCCTGTAGAGATTTCATACAAAACACAACAATAAACTGAAAATATTGAATGAAAAGCGTTATGAAGGAACGGTGGAACCACGGTCGTATACACAGGTCTGGAAACTCGAGCCTGTTTCCTATGGAGAAATAAGTCTAGGAATGCTATCTGGCAACTGTCATGGCTGACTCTGACTATATCTCTGGGAGCACTGCATAACGGTTACTTCCGGTTATTTTAAGGATCACTTCCGGCCATGTTTATTATAAATTTTACCTAATAACGCTTTTTTGTTTGAAACATTTTTCGATAACAAACGTCCACAAACGGAACGGTACTGGAATATTTGATTATATACTACTAATCAGACTGGAATAATTGTGGCCATTTTGGATGACGTCATACTGACGGGGGTAGAGAATGTCAACACAAACTTTTTTGCTTCCTATACACCCAAGCCACATTAGGCCAATGGACTACTCTACAAAGAATTTTCTCTATACGCATACTTGCACACAGAAATGTTGTGAGCTTCAAGGACTATGGCCGTTTGCACCGACAAATTTAAGTGGAGCTTAGCTTAAGCGTAGCTTAAAATCCATGGCAACGATTATTGAGACATGCCATGGATTTTAAGCTAAGCTCCACTTAAATTTGTCGGTGCAAACGGCCATAAGACAAGGAATTCAGACATCCAGTTAAGGCTGGTTTATAATTGGCCTAACCGTATTCTATAACCGTAACTGTAAAAATTCAAACATGACAAATCAATGTATCTGTTCCCAATGCTAGGGAATAATCTCTTAACTTATTCCATAACCGTAAAATATGGTGATATTTTATAAATTAGGGAATAAAGAATACAGACAGCCAATAGGAACGCTTCCTGATCACGTGTGTGCTGTCGCAAAGCAACGCTAACTTCGTTTCAAAACTAAATTATCATAACCCAACTTTAACTTTCCGATCCCAACATGATAAACATGAAAGAGGCTACTGCTATATCTTATTATCTTCCTCCAATACATCCATGTTCGACGATTTTATTTAACAACTTAATGAATAAATAGGTAGAATTTCAACAATTGTATACAAAAACCAAAAACTTCACTTTGACATGGTTATTTTTTGGAGAGCCAATAGTGAGAATGAAATCCCCCAGAATCGTTCGCAATTTTTAGGTTGATTATGAACCGAGCATGCCAGTTTTACGGATTAAAGATTGTAGATTAAAGTTACAGATTACGGTTAGGCCAATTATAAACCAGCCTTTACTCTATTTACATCCGTGTTAGGGGAAGAGGCTTCAATCAACTAATACACACATAATTTGATACACCTTGTATATTAAACGATAATGTAGTCAACTGTTTTATAAGTTTTTGCTTTTGCGCCATAAAAATCTTCTTTCTTGTAAACATGGCGAACAACACAGAGGTGCTAGCTTCAGCTATAGTGTATGATTTCTTATTAAAAGTAGATAAAAACATAGCAAATAATTTTAAAAAGAAAACAGCAACGGTAAGAATGTAAATGGAATTAACATTTCAGTTATAACACTTTATTGGTCATGTTTGTTTAAGGATTGTGCACTTGCAAAAAGCACGTGGTTGCCACACACCACGATTATTACTTCCCTAAAATTTGAATTTGTGCTTTGTTACAGTCAGTGAAAGGCTCCCCGTTGAATTATATCGTCAACCACTTTGTAAAAACTAGTAAAAGTGCAGAATTAAATCAAATTAAATCGACTTTAAAACTAAATTCATCTGAGTCGGATGATAGCAGCGAAGAAGAAGATCCTAAAACTGCATTAGTCAATGGTAAAGTTGGTAAGCCCACAGTTGCTAAAAAAGATAGTAGTTCAGAAGAGTCCAGCTCGGAAGAGGAGGAGACCGTCAAGGTTCCACCAAAACCGGCAGCGACAGCTAAACCTCCAGTAGCAAAGAAACCAGCAAGTAGTAGCTCAGAGGAATCTTCGGAAGAAGAAGACAATGCACCTCAGGTTAAGAAACCTACACAAGTTGCGAACAAACAAGCAGTTGCGAAACAAAATCAGGCAGTAGCGAAACCAGTTGCAAAAAAAGATGAGAGTAGTTCTGACGAGTCGTCTTCAGAAGAAGATGAGCCTCCTAAAAAAATTGCACAACCTTCTAAACCACAGCCGGCAAAAGCACCTACAACACACCAAAAAAAAGAGGAAATGAGTAGCTCCGAGGAAGAATCATCCGAGGAGGAGGCTCCTAGTCCAGCCAAAACTGCCGTTAAGCCGCAACAACCACTTAAACCAGTCCCGGTTCCCAAAGAGAGCAGTTCAGAGGAGTCCTCATCTGAGGAAGACGAACCGGCCAAGAAACCACAGGCTGTAAAGCCCGTAGCAAAAGTCACCCCTCAGAAGACTGCTGAAAGCAGTTCCGAGGAAGAATCCTCTTCAGAGGAGGAAACAAATGTAAAAGTAAACGGAAAGCCGCCCGTTGCTAAACGACCTGTAAATAGTAAACCGGCAGAAGAAAGTAGTTCAGAGGAGTCCGATTCTGAACCGACAAAAACTGTCGTGCAACCCAAGAAACCTGTAACGCAACCGCCCGCAGTATCTAAGAAGAAGGAGGAGAGTAGTTCGGAGGAGGAGTCAAGCGAGGATGAAAAGCCACCCGCCAAAGTGCCGCCGAAACCGGTGCAGTTTGTTAAAGCAGCTAAAAAGGAGAGTTCGTCGGAGGAGAGTAGTTCTGAAGAAGAAGCGCCGGCTGTAAAAGCTCCTGCAGTTGCTGCAAAAAAGGTTTGTATACGTACATATCGAATGTAACTGTCTAAAATGTGTTCAGATTTAAAATGAATTGTTTAAACACGGTTTAATATTCAATAAAATGTGCAGGCTGCCGCAAATGCAGACTCATCGTCCGATAGTTCCGATGATGAAGAAGAAGAGGGTCCTGCAAGTAAACCGGTACCGAAGAAACGCGAAGCAGAGGCTGATGCAAACGAAAATTCATTTGCAAAGAAACCGAAATTCAACAACTTTAACAAGAACAATAGTTTTTCAGGAAATGGAAAGGTATCCCTTTTTTTTGTGTTTTTTAATGTTCAATTCTTTTTTTTGTGATGCATTTGTTAATGCTAGGTACTGTAGACCCTTGTTTTTAAAACCTTTTCAATTTAATTGAAACATACCATTTGCCCATCACAGATTTTGTAAATTAACGAACAAAAAACATTAGCAAATGCCCACTAGATCACTATTGGTTTGTGATTTTGTTTTTGTTTTCAAATAGTCCAATACACCTTTCCGTCGTATAAATGATGAAGCGGTACGCATCGATCCAAGACTACAAAATAATTCATTCGAAGCCAAGGTAACGTGCGATCTCATTGCGGTCAGTTTGATAGGCATGTATGTTTGCGTCATTCTCGTTTAAATTGAATCAGTGAGTTCGCACGTTTTCCTTAATATGCCTCTACGAACATACCTGCCTGTTTTACTGACATGTTTTTTCTCTTTTTTTTCATGGTTTGTTTCATCGTCTTGCAAAATGCCATTTCTCTTATTAAAATTTAGTCTGACGGTGATACTGACATGAGCTCGAATCGGTTCGGGAATAGAGGCGGCGGTTGGGGAGGGGGTAATTATAGAGGTGGACGAGGAGGCGGCGGTTTTCAAGGAGGGCGGGGCGGGCGCGATGGTGGATTTAGAGGTGGTTTCAGGGGGGGTCGCGGAGGTGGCGGTTTTAGAGGAGGACGCGACGACGAAGGCGGACGGGGAGGGCGCGGTGGTTTTAGGGGCCGAGGTGGTGGTGGATTTAGGGGAGGGCAAGACGGTTTCAGAAAATCATTCGGTGGTAACAATGATGGTGGCAATTTTAATAAGAGAAACAGTTTTGCTGACACGTCACCGACGAACAAGAAAATCAAGTTTGACGATTAATAATTGTGCATTGTAAGTATGACGTCGATCATCCATTATTCTGCCATCTTGAGCAAACAGGTCGTTTTTTATTTTCATTAGCTTTGGAGTTTGAACCTTCCTTTTCTCAGATGTCAATCTTTCTAAAGAAATGTGGGTGACTACCTCCAAAAATCCATTCAAACAAATAAAAAAAAGTAAATACATCTTTTTGCTTAGGATGACCATGTAATGTTAAGTAGCAAAGATATTGATCTCAGTTTTATTACAGAAAAATGCCCGAGGCTCTTGGGGAGAAAGAGCAAATTATGATTTAAAGAACACCCGTGGAAAAATGTTTAAACATGAGAAAACTAAAAAGAAACGTGGTTCGTATCGCGGTGGTACAATAGACTTGGGCGTGAATTCTATAAAATTTGACTAAAATGTGTGCATAATTCGGCTGCGTTATCGATATTAGTTTTTCTATATAATTTTTAGTATTAGAGTTATAATGTAATATTACATTAAGTTGTGCTATAGACTGGTTAAGTTTTCTACGACGTAAAGTTTTAATATGTTTTATGTAAGTGGCACCTTACAATGTTCGTCAACTTTAAGTAAAAGTATTTATATTCGTAATTTCTTTTTTTTCCATGTGACTGGTGGTCTTGAAAGAACGCTGTGCAAATATATGGTGGACAAATGAGCTTGAGTGACGCAAGGAATGTATAAGTTCATCCCCTCATCTGGAATAGGAACAACATCAACCTTATTTTTGTTTTCTCTTACTGTCTTAAGAGTGCATTTGTCAACTGACTAGTCATAGGCATTATATTACACTTACTTGCACAACCTATCATGTCACACTAAAAATTAACACCCCTTTCTGAAAATATTTTAAAGTGCACTTGTCACATCCACTCAACATTGCCACAAACAGCATAATTGATTACAGTATGCACTCAAATATAAGTATCACTATCCCTTTGCCGGTCAAATTTACGCATTTTTTGCCTAAACTCTTAGAACAGTCTTCTGGATTCAACACCAAGCAATGGTCTTAAGAATCATCAACTTCATATCTACACAGATTTTTTAAGGTAGGTTAAACTTATTTTTAGAAGACATACTGACATAGAATTTTCTTTTTAACTGTTTACTGGCAAAACTATAGAAAAATGCATGAGTATAGGTGAAAGTTGTATTGCACCACAGTTCGTATCGTATGACACCTCTAAACAAAATTGAACAACAAACATTCAACGACGACAACACAACAAAAAAACACTAAATGTAGCTTTTGGAATTTAGTGTGTTGCGTTTTAGCTAAATAGCTACGAACTGTTTCAGTGATGCCCAAGTGTTTAAATGGTCATGGGCCTACTACGTTTTGGGTTTTTTATACGACAAGGTGGGTGCAGTATTGGAGGTTGTGGAGTGGAAAGTGTGAGGAGTAAAAGAATCGGCCCAGCAGTTCTGGGTGATGGTTTTACTCTAGCGCATTCAGATGTTGAAGAGGACAGTTGTCTAAAATACTTGTGGTGAGTGTTTTTGCGGGCCATAGTAGATAGTAGTTCTAAATGAAGCGTTATTTCGATGGGCTTAGGTGCTCATGATCCTTTTTTTCATGTTTATTTCTTTAACTTTAAATAAAATGAAAAAATCTAGTAGTTTAGATAATTATATAGGGTGAGTTTTTTCCAATGTTTAGTATGGGGATCTCGTAAACCTTAAGAGATACAAAGCCGAGATCTCCATACTAAACATCGGGAAAAACTCACCCTGTATATCATTTTAGCAGTATTATTGATAAAGAAATTAGCTTGAAGATATTAAAACCTTTAAGACATAATAATAATAATAATGTCTTTATTAGATGTTGATCTAAAGGGCGAAGTTCACCTAGGGGCAACATCGCCACCAGGTGTGTCTTTAATGCTTGTCCAATGCAAGGTATATTTCCGAACTGTGTCAATCACACAAGGGTAGTGCCTTTACATAAAAAAGGAAATACAAGTAACCCTGGAAATTATCGTCCAATTTCAAATGTATCCGTTGTAGGCAAAGTAAAAGATAGCTAGGTTATAGAAATTTTTAGAGAAACAAGCCAATATGGTTTTAGGGAGACCATACATGCCGTTACTAAAGTTGTTGAATATGTGGTTGATGGGCTTGAGAAAGGCGGGCATCACGATGTGTGATTTAAGTAAGGCATTTGCTTGTACATCGCACAACATATTGATAAATAATCTCCAAAAATACGGGATCAGAGATGTGCCTTTAAAATTAATAAAATCTTCCCTAAGTAATAGAAAACGCATCACCTTTTGGACCAGTGGCCCATGGTGTACCACAAGGATCTGTTGTGGGACCACTGGTATATACATAAACGACTTTCCTAATATCCTGAAACCCAGTAATAGTGTTCTATGTATGCAGATGATGCAACTTTGATCTCAAATGCTATCACTTGTACAGTTTTAGAAAATAAAATGTCATTCTTACAAGAAATAGGTCTGACAGTTGGTTTATAGCTAAAATTAAATAGTAGCAAAATCGAGAGCAAAATCAAAAGTCAGAATGTAACTAGTCGTAACACCACACTTAACAACAATTTAAATTAGAAAGGACATATTGATGGCTTAGTAGGAAAGCTGGCCTCCGTTCTTTTTGTCATTAGAGTATTTGTCCTACCTTCCTGGCGTTAGTCCCGCATAATTGCAGAGTGCGCTCTTCTACATAGCCCTCTCCATTCGGTTCGGTTCATTGCATCTTCGGGTGCGGCGCCAACTGTCCTATCCTCGCCACGTCGAACCATCGTTTCCGTGGTCTACCGCGGGGGCGTTGACCAGGTGGGTTGAGGCGTATCGCTGTGTTGGCACCGGAGTGGTCGTCACTGCGCATGACGTGGCCGCACCCCACGCATCTTCTCATCAATTCGCGCCACTACCGAGCGTGTTGATGACGCGGTTGAGTTTCGTCAGGTTCAAAATTTTTCGAAGCGTGCGCATTTCGCGCGGCGATTCTGGCGTGAACGTCATAGGGAGATGTCGCCGGCACTGCGGATGGTGGCGCCGAGATACTATGCGATCAAAAATGAGTTGCTGTCGAGTCACCTTTGGAATTTTTGTTTACATGATATGAAAAATGATAGAAGAGTAGGTAGGTACTTGCCAGCAATCACGAGGGACGTGTTCTGGTTTTAGTTCCGGTTTTTTCGCTTTTTGTTTACTAAAAATTATAGATATTTCTGTCAGCATCTATAATCTCTGAATGTGTTTTGGATGTAGGTATATGCCTTAGAGAGAAAAACTGAAAAATGGCTGATTCCTTCAATTTGCTGTAACTTCGAAGCTGAACAAAATCGCTTTAGCATGATTCAAGATTCAGGCACTTTTTAATAAAAAAAAGAGCACTGACTTATCTTGAATGGTTTAAGAGATATGTATTTTTGAATAGATCCTTGTATCTCCAATTAGAGAAAAATTGATTTATGTCAAAAACTATGACAGATAGGTACACAACTCTTAAATGCGTCAAATTCACCATTGAAATAAAAGACTAAATTCACAATAAAAAGGCGCATTTAGAAAAAGATGTTTCCAAGTTAAAAAAAACCAAGATGGCGTAATTTCCGGTAGTTACGCATATATAAGAGATAGACCGGGAGATGATGACACTTTTTGTAGTGTGATTTGCTACAAGTATGGCGACCATTCAAAGGTTTAATTGAGTACTCCTCAAAACCAAAATGATGCTAACTCTCTGGGAGTGGGGCCGTTATTGCGTGACGATTGTTTAAACATGGAAAATTTAATGATTTTGGACAATTTGCTACACAAAATTCTTTGGATTTTCTGATAGTCGGTGACAAAACAAATGACGGAAACGAAATGACTTACTTTTCCGGTGGGCCTTATAGCCCGCCATACTCATTTGAACGTGTCGATTGATCGTTTTTTTTTGGGTGATTTGCTACAAGCTCATTTTTTTATGGGCATCAAGTCCTCCATCAGTCATTCACGAAAATCAACCTGCCATACCGCAGCGACAGGCCCGCATACCCGCCATACCGGCACAAAGATTTCATTTTTGTTAATAATTTTGGGTGATTTGCTACAGAATGGCATTTGGATTTTCCGAAAGATCATCCTCCACTTTTATCCATGATATATGTGCCATACTCGTCATGAAGGCTTAAGATGGCGCCATACTCGAAAATCTGTTTTCCAAAACATCTTTGTGCTATAACTGGGACAAGCAAGGTAGGTACCTTGAAAACGATCTTCTCGCGAACTTCAGAAAAATGATTTTATTATTAAAAATTGGTAACACAATCCATTCAAAAGAATAATTATTCTAAATTCATTAACTTATCCCGACAAGGTATAATATCGTACTCGCGATTAACAATTACTCGTCATCGGTATCTTCTGTTTCCTTCCCATTACCCTCGTCACTACTCAAATCGATTTTATTTTCATTGTAACAACAGGTGCAAAATTTGGTTTTGCACATCAGCTATAGCCATACCCAGGAGCTCGTTTGCTATATTTGTTTAAACGTTTATTAATATAATAATTATTATTCGTGTTACTTTAATTTGCATAATGTGTAAATTTTCATCGGTTCGTCATTCTAAATGAAAATTTTATCAAAATTGATCAAAGTACACTGGGTGTTCAGATACTTATGGCGGGTAGTATAAACTTGACGGAAGTTGCGATCCATTGAATGCAATTCAGAACACAACGACCCAAACCGGGACCTCTACAACTTGACTAAGAGGTTCGAGTGGGGCGGAGAATATTAAGCGATATAACATCTCGTGACAAAACAAGATTGGCCTCGGATTCATGTTTGAAACTTGATATTTACTTTTATTACCCCTCAAACTGTCACGAAAAATTGGTGCCATACTGTAGCAAATTGTCCAAATTTTCCGAAAATTCTTACATTTTTGAAAAAATATTATACATAATTGGCCCATGCCACAGGTATGGTGTATCGAAATTTCTATTTCTGACTATAAAAATAACTGGTGGAAAAATTTATAGGGTGTAGCAAATCGCTCAAAATTATTAACAAAATTGACATCTTTGTGCCGGTATGGCGGTTATGCGGGCCCGTCGCTGCGGTATGGCAGGTTGATTTTCGTGATTTACTGATTGAGGACTTGATGCTCATACAAAAATGAGCTTGTAGCAAATCACCCAAAAAAAAACAAACAATCGACAAGTTCCAATGAATATGGCGGGCTATAAGCACAGATCTAGATCTGTGCTATAAGGCCCACCGGAAAAGTATGGCATTTCGTTTCCGTCATTTGTTTTGTCACCGACTACCAGAAAATTCAAAGAATTTTGTGTAGCAAATTGTCCAAAATCATTAAATTTTCCAACATGTTTAAAAAATCGTCACGCAATAACGGCCCACTCCCAGAGCACCATTTTCGTTTTGAGGAATTAAACCTTTGAATGGTCGCCATTCTTGTAGCAAATCACAGCACAAAAAGTTTCACCATCTCCCGGTCTAAGAAGTATATGCAGTTACAGAAGCGGCGCCATCTTGAAATTATTTTATTTCAATTCGCAATGCTCGATTATACCTGTGAAGCAAGTTTCAAGTGTCTACTTCAACTGCAAGTTTAAACATTTAATGAACGGCCTAATAATTTTTCCTGTAGAAATTAATCAAAGCAACGCATCAAAGTGTAAAATTGTACTACAAACTTTCTCTTTTGGGCAGGTTTGAGCAAAATGTAAACTTTCGAGTGCAAGCGCAGCACACCAATCCAAATACAAAAAACCCCATATGGGATCAATTGGAAAAAGATGTAAAATTTCATGCAAAAATGGATGTAATAAAGAACAATGGAAAAATACAAAAATTTAAAACAAATAAAATACTCTTAAAAAATACAAAAATTTAAAACAAATAAAATACTCTTAAATTAGATTGGGCTCGATGAAGAACGTGAGAGACGATAGGAACCCATATGAGCTGTGGCATTATCGAGCTCCGTTTCCAATTCTCGACCATCATTCTCCTGTATCATCTTCGCAAGATCTTCATGGTCGTTACCAAATGCAACCTGTGTCAGTGTCTGTCCTTGGCTGTTGTGAGCATTAGTCACAGCTAAAAATGCATCCAGGTTTTCTTCTCTAACCATTTCTAATTCTTTAATGATTGCGCAGTTACCATCTTTCGCTTTGTCAAATAATTGACCAATCCGCTGTAAGAGATTGACAATTTCGATATTGTTGGCGGTTTGAGCACAGTCTTGTGGTGTGCTACCGTCTTCACCACTGACGGCGTCAAACATTGCACCGTGTTTTAGTAGAGAGAACACAATTTCCAGATTATTAAACTTCGCAGCAAAGTGGAGAGGACAGACCTTGTCCTTGTTGCTGAAGTTTACGTTGGCACCATTCGTTAGCAATAGGTTAACAATGGTGGTGTAGCCTTTCCATGATGCGTAGATTAATGGGGTTTGGAAATGAACACTTCTAATATTAACTAATGCTCCTTGTTTAAGACTATTTTCAACTTCTAAGTGATTGTTCTCCATTGTAGCAGTGAATAACTTTTCAGTCAATCTAAATAATTTAATTAATCTTGAATTACGACTTTTCTTAGCAAGCTGTGATGGCAAAACATGTGGAGCTGTTTGAGCCTCTGCATCAAAATATGCTCCACTCATAAGAAGAAATTTAACCATTTCCAAATTACCATGTTGTGCACCTAAGTGTAAAGGTGTATAATTGCCACGCATTGTTGCGTTAACCACTGCTCCATTCCTAATTAGAGTTTTAACTACCTGAGGATGGTTATAGATAGCTGCAAGATGGAGGGGTGTGTATTTTCTAATATTTTCAACTAAACTGGGGTTGGCACCATATTTTAATAACATCGTAACAACTGAATCATTACCTGTTTCAGCTGCCAAATGCAAAGGTGTCCAATTTTCCTCATCTAAAGTATTAGCATTTGCTCCACTTTCCAACAAACAGCTTACTATTCCTAAATGACCCTCTGCTACTGCGATGTGAAGAGGTGTTCCGCCTTCAGTTATTCTGACATGAATGTCTGCATTATTTTTTACCAGTAGCTCAACTACCTGTAAATGACCCACCAGACACACAGTGTGTAAAGGTGCAACATTATTGTGGTCTTTAGGATTAACGTCTATTCCATTTGCAAGCAGTAGACACTTAGTGACTTCAAGATAATTCCGTTCAGTTGCCATGTGCAAAGGTGTAACATTTTCAAAATCCTTGGCATTAACGTTACATTTCGCTTCGAGTAAAGCCTTTACTACCTCGACAAAGCCACCTCGACAGGCAAAATGCAAAGATGTAATTTTATGTTGTGTTATTGCATCACAATTTGCTCCTGCTTTCAGCAGTACCTTAACAATATCGGATCTACCAAGTTTTGCTCCTAAATGTAAAGCTGTAACGTTGAAGTCAACTGTATGATCTGAATATCTAGTTATAATCAAAGATAAGATGGTGCAACCCGCATTAATATCAGATCCATGAGAAATAAGAGTCTTGATTACCTCAAGATTACCACTTTGTACTGCATGATGTAAAGGTCTTGTTCGAGCTCTACTCGCAGCGTTAACGTCTGATCCATTTTTTACTAGCACATTTATTGTGTCTAGATGACCACCCCCTGCTGCGAGATGTAAAGGTGTGTAAAGATCATCTGATTTCGTGTTGAGATCGGCTCCATGTGCAATTAAAGTATTGACAATATCCAGGTGGCCCTCTTGACAAGCATAACTTAGAGGCATGAAGCCTTTTTGAACTTTATGTTTTAGGTCAGCTCCACGAGCAATAAGAAAATTGACCATCTCTAAGCGATTGTTTTTAATTGCAAAATACAGTGGTGTATACCGATAGTATTTGATCTCGCAGTTGACAGATAAACCTTCTGCTAACGAGCTCCTTGCTAAAGACAGATCGCCAACACTTGCTGCCACATGTAATCCTGTAATACTAGCGCGTATTTCAGCTTCTTGTTCCATACTTAAATATTCTTGGGATTGGGTGTAGGGAAATGGTATGAGACTTTGACTATGAATGTTGCCCATATCTAAAATGGTACACGTGTGAATATTCCTAAAGAATGTGATTTTTACACGTACTGAGCAGTTCTGCTTGAAAAAGATATATAAAAATTGTAACTATTGTTTGCTGCGTAATAGATTACGCTGTAGACACAAACTTTGATTATATCTTTGTTAAAAACAATGATTATATACCGTTAACCGTAGGATAATGCGCTGATTAATCAATTAATGCGGTGCAAAGTGCAACACCTCAAAAAAACTTTGAACATACCATGGTATGAACACAGTAAACGGAATCAGTATAGACACTCCCACAACTGTCTCTATGGACTCTGGTATATGTCATGCCACATTGTCCAGTGGTACCTCACTTTGTCAAGAGGGCGTTGTAAGGTTGTCAGCATTTTGACTTAGCTAGGGCTCTATGCACGGGCACAAGTACCTACCTAAGATTCTACCTGACTTCATAACAAGTAATTTAGATACCTATACCTACACGCAAGATCGAAAAAAAGGTAAAGTATCTAAACATTGTTATATAAAGTCATCAGTGTGTAGTTTCCAACTTTTAATTATTTTTTGGTAGGTATGCTGTACATTGTCGTATTCGTAATAAAAATGCTACTCAATACAGTATCTTTTTTACGGGTCATAAAAAATGAAGTTGATGATTTCTCTGAAACGAAACGTTGTATTAAAAATCTCTCAAGGCTGTCTTGTAGAGTTCCGAAAGTGGCAATGAGAAAGGTTTTTTTTAGTTTTCTACGTATGCTCAAATAACATAAGAAGAAAATAAAAACAAAATCGGAGAATGTTGGTTTTTCTGACATATCTTCGAAAGTAATCGGAATTTTCGGGTACATACATACCAGCATGATAATTGTTTAATTGCCCAACTTTTTTGACCATCATCGTATCTTTTATGGTTTCCGAGATCCCAATGATAGACATCCTTATCTTGAATATAGGGTATACAGAGCTGGGCAGTATTCGATTTTGTAAATACTTTTTAGTATTCAAATCCTTTAAAGTATTCAAATACTTTGTAATTAAATACTTTTATGGAAGCAGTATTTGTATTTGTAACTCAAATACTTTCACAAATATTTAGTATTCGAATACTTCGCAAAGTATTTGGATACTTCGTAAAGTATTCGACTACTCGCAAGGTATTTGAATACTTTGAGAAGTATTCGAATACTTCGCATAGTATTTGAATTGAACCGACCAAAAATCGACTCCAAAATTTCTCGGGAAAACACTTTTTCTTATTAATTTTGGTGCGTAGAATCCAAAACAATTCGTACTTTTTCGATTAGACTTCTCAATCAAAAGTTATAGACTAGAAACCAATTTCGCAAGAAAATTCAAAGGGCTGTAACTTTTGAACTAGTAGCCCAATCTTGGAACTGTTTGAAATTATGGATTCTACAGGCCACATTCTATAAGAAAATTTTTTTTCCGGGTCGTTCTAAGACAATTTTTTTTTTCGGGGCTCAAAAAAAGGCAGTGTATAACCTTCCCTTTTTACCAAAAATCGACTGCACCAAAATTTCTCGGGAAAACACTTTTTCTTATTAATTTTGGTGCGTAGAATCCCAAACAATTCGTACTTTTTCGATCAGACTTCTCAATCAAAAGTTATAGACTAGAAACCAATTTCGAAAGAAAATTCAAAGGGCTGTGACTTTTGAACTAGTAGCCCAATCTGGGAACTGTTTGAAATTATGGATTCTACAGGCCCCATTCTATAAGAAAATTTTTTTCCGAGTCGATCTGAGACAATTTTTTTTCGGGCCTCAAAAAAAGACAGTGTATAACCTTCCTTTTTTACCAAAAAACGACTGCATCAAAATTTCTCGGGAAAACACTTTTTCCTATTAATTTTGGTGCGTAATATCCAAAACAATTCGTACTTTTTCGATCAGGCTTCTCAATCAAAAGTTATAGACTAGAAACCAATTTCGAAAGAAAATTCAAAGGGCTGTAACTTTTGAACTAGTAGCCCAATCTTGGGACTGTTTGAAATTATGGACTCTACAGGCCACATTCTATAAGAAATTTTTTTCCGGGTCGATCTGAGACAATTTTTTTTTCGGGCCTCAAAAAAAGGCAGTGTATAACCTTCCTTTTTTACCAAAAATCGACTACACCAAAATTTCTCGGGAAAACACTTTTTCTTATTAATTTTGGTGCGTAGAATCCAAAACAATTCGTACTTTTTCGATCAGACTTCTCAATCAAAAGTTATAGACTAGAAACCAATTTCGAAAAAAAATTCAAAGGGCTGTAACTTTTGAACTAGTAGCCCAATCTTGGAACTGTTTGAAATTATGGATTCTACAGGCCACATTCTATAAGAAAAATTTTTTCCGGGTCGATCTGAGACAATTTTTTTTTGGGGCCTCAAAAAAAGGCAGTGTATAACCTTCCTTTTTTACCAAAAATCGACTGCACCAAAATTTCTCGGGAAAACACTTTTTCTTATTAATTTTGGTGCGTAGAATCCAAAACAATTCGTACTTTTTCGATCAGACTTCTCAATCAAAAGTTATAGACTAGAAACCAATTTCGAAAAAAAATTCAAAGGGCTGAAACTTTTGAACTAGTAGCCCAATCTTGGAACTGTTTGAAATTATTGATTCTACAGGCCACATTCTATAAGAAAATTTTTTCCGGATCGATCTGAGTCAATTTTTTTTTCGGGTCTCAAAAAAGGCAGTGTATAACCTTCCTTTTTTACCAAAAATCGACTGCACCAAAATTTCTCGGGAAAACACTTTTTCTTATTAATTTTGGTGCGTAGAATCCAAAACAATTCGTACTTTTTCGATCAGACTTCTCAATCAAAAGTTATAGACTAGAAACCAATTTCGAAAGAAAATTCAAAGGGCTGTAACTTTTGAACTAGTAGCCGAATCTTGGAACTGTTTGAAATTATGGATTCTACAGGCCACATTCTATAAGAAAATTTTTTTCCGGGTCGATCTGAGACAATTTTTTTTTCAGGCCTCAAAAAAAGGCAGTGTACAACCTTTCTTTTTTACCAAAAATCGACTGCACCAAAATTTGTGTAAAGTATTTACTATTCAAATACTTTTTGAAAGTATTCTGCCCAGCTCTGAGGGTATATAACTCAAAGTATATAGCCCAACTGCATTTCAAAACGAACAACTAACTCGCAATCTAAATCTAGGGGTGTTCAAGCATTATCCGGAAACTAATTGATTAGGGGGTACAAATAGGTACACAACATTTTTTGGTCAACAGATTAATACTTTAACCAAAAAGTTCTCACTTTTAATTATTTTAGACACTACAATATTGATTATAGGCGGCATGTTCATTACAAAAAAAAGAAAGCTTGTGCGATGCTATGCTGGATACGATAAAAAGTGCATGTTTCTGACATTTTTTTGTAAAGTTTTACAAGAATCTTTTCTCGTACCATATTTTTTGCGCGCTTTAATAATAATAATAATAGTAATTATTACTATTATTATTTATCATTATTACTAAGTAATAATTATTGATTAGGAAAAATTGGTTCCTACACCATAACCAATAGGTTCAGGGTCAGATAAACCATTCGGTTATATGTTCTTCCTCCTGTACCCCTAGAAACATAAAGTATATATTACTACATGTAGATTCTACGAAATAAAACAATTACCAGAGTTCGATTTTGATTGTAAACAAGCACCCATCTACTAAGTAACTACCTACCAAGAAAAAAGACAAAATCAAACAAAATTATGTTAAATTTCGCTATCTGATTAATAATTTTTTAATTTTCCGTTTAAAGGCATCTTCGGACACTGCCTGTAAAACGGGGGGAATGGGAAAGGAAATGTTTTGCACTTGTCACCAACCTTTTTAAATCCATAAATGATTGGACCACTTGTTTCAATGGTTCAACCTCGTCTGTGTGTACTAAAGTCAGTTCCATCATCAAAGAATTCGGTTTCACATCCTTAGCAAAATGAAAAAAAATGTGAGTAAGAAAGTAGAAGAAGGCCTGCAGATGGGAATATTCATGAAGCTCCATCGTTCCCAATACCTCTAATGTGAAACCTCTGGTCAGTCTGTTCCGGAAGATCTAAGCAAGAGGTTTTCGCTTTCGAGAAGAAAGAAGTTTTTTCCTTGTGGTTCAGTTATTGGTTATTGGACGGTCTTCGGTCACAAATCCTGAAGGATACACTTTCTTCGAGCTTTGGAGTTAACCCTATAGATTCGCTACCTGCTATGTTGTCGGGTCAAATTCCGACCGAAATCTGCCCTATTCTATTCGTAGGATCACTCGCAGCTCAGAACTGAACATTTAGTATTTGGGATGGAAAGCTCAAGGACACGGCTATAGCAAAGTGAGACCTTGAATGATAGCAAATGCCAAGTCCTTTCATACAGATCCAAGATGAGGCAAAACAGAAATGTCGAAGTTCTCCGGGAATGTAGTTGATGACACCTGAAAAATTTACTCTTGTGGGTGCTCCACGTAAGCCGGGCGAACGAAAATAAAAATACGGAACCCAAAGCAATAATATTCCCATTAATTAATATGAGAGCAAAGCCTTACTTTTTTGTTATTTTGGTTGTATAAAATTAGGCCTCGTTCAGAAGAGTTTTTGCCATTTAAAACTGAACATAGGAAATCCCTGTCTACTTCTAAATGAGTATCACCTGTATACCCAGACATTCAGAATCTGTACATGAATTGCTAAGTTATTGGAAAGTAGTAACAAGAAGTTTGAGGTGGTTCATATTTAGTGCAGGATGGAATGTCCTCTTGGATCTTAACAGTAGCCAGGTGTCCAGTGACCTATGCAGATATAGAATCATTTCACTTCCCTTCAAATAGTGGAAAAACAAATCATAAAAACACAACTGCTTCATAAATTGTAGCAGAAGTTTTAAGAATGCAACTGATTTGCATCGTGTTCATGTTGGCAATGTGCATCGGCTGCTGCCTGAGTGTAGCCAACCGTCCCAGGCAGCTTGAACACAGGAGTTTTGAATTCTAGCTCCAATGTTGAGCCTATTTTGGAAATCACATCAGTAATATTCCAATAAAAACGGATATACCAGTTAAGCGTCAGTTGTGCACTAATTCCGAGTGTTTGTAAAATGCAAAATATTTCTATATTTGTTGGATAGATATACAGCAATAATACAGTTAACAAAATAAAAGAACAATTCAAACTTAAAAAATCATAGGTCTACATGCAGTATAAAAATATGAATATCATGAGATACGAACTGAACATTACTCAGCTTGAGTTTCAGGTACCTGTACCAATTCTGGATGGGAACTTGTAACATTTTTATTGCGACTGGCACGTTCGACTTGTATAAGCGTTTTCATTTGACCGTTTCGAGCATTGGTAACAGCTATATATTCCTTAGGGTTGTGGTCTCTAATTGTTTTTAATTTTGTAACAATTGAATTGCCACTTTTAGCTTCTTCAAACAAATGATCGACCAACTGCAAAAGATTGGCAATATCAATATTGCCGGCAACTTGGGCACAGTCCAGCGGTGTATTACGGCCTGTAGTACTAACCACATCGAACATTGCACCGTGCTCGAGTAAAGAGTATACAATTTCAATATGATTATACTTGGCAGCATAATGGATTGGAAAGACATTGTTGTTGTTAGTGAAATTTACATTTGCACGATATTTTAATAGAAGGTCAACGATGTTGACGTATCCTTTCCACGATGCGTAGATCAATGGGGTTTTGAAATGAATGCTTCTACTATTTACGAATGCTCCACGTTTAAGGCAAGTTTCCACTGCTAAGTGATCGTTTTCTTTCGTAGCATTGAATAGCTGTTCAGATAGTCGGAGCATTGCAATTATATCCAAATTTCTTACTGCACGATGCAATGGTAAATGAGGGCTGACGTCATAGTATGCTCCATTCGCAAGTAGAGACTTTGCTATACCTACATTTCCATTTACCGCCACCATGTATAAAGGTGTAAAATTGTTGATCATTGTTGCATTAACGTCTGCTCCATTTTCAATAAGGATTTTAGCCACCTTGGACTGATCATAGTGGAGTGCAAGATGTAAAGCTGTCATTTTGCTTCGAATTTCTTGTACATTTGGGTCAGCATCATGTATTAACAAGACAGTGACAATCTCATCAAAGCCTTGCAGAGTTGCAACATGTAAAGGAGTTACATTCATACAATCTACTACATTAACATCTATCCCGCTTTCAATTAAAAAATTTATTATTCCTAAATGGTCGCGCTGTGCTGCCAAATGTAAAGCGCTCTCACCCACACTTCCTTTAGCATTAATGTTGGCATGGTGTTTTATTAGCAACTTAACTACTTCCAAATGGCCCTTCTCACAGCCTACCAGCAAAGCTGTAAAATTTTGGGGGCCTTTAGAGTCGACGTCAATTCCACTTGCAAGAAGTAGATGCTTAACTACTTCAACGTAATTTCGTGCAGCTGCTAGGATCAATGGTGTGCAATTGTCGTTATTCTTCGCATTAATATTCGACTTTGCTGCAAGTAACGCTTTTATTGACTCGATAGAGCCACCTACAGATGCTAAATGCAAAGGTGTAACTCCGCGTTTTGTTGTTGCATTAGGATTTGCTCCCGCTTCCAGCAGAACCTTAACTATATCTGACCTACGAAATGATGTTCCCAAATGTAATGGGGTAACATTTGAGTCATACGAGTCGTCTGCGTTACTTGATGGGTATAGACTCACGTTCAAACCTTCAGCAATGCAACCGGCATTAATGTCAGATCCACGAGAGATCAGTGTTTTAATTATTTCGAGATTACCGTTTAGTACTGCATAATGCAAAGGCCTCCCTTGATCCTTATTTACTGCATCGACATCTAATCCTATTTCAATGAGAACATTTATCAGATCCACATGACCTTGCCTTGCAGCTAAATGCAACGCTGTAGAAAATGTATCTGTTTTAATGTTGATATCTGCTCCATGCTTAATTAAGGTGTTGACAATATCCAAACGACCTCGCAGAGCTGCATAATGTAAAGGCGTGAATCCTGTATTTGATTTATGATTTAGTTTTGCTCCATTCGCAATTAGAAAATGAACCATTTCCAAGCGATTTCCTTCTATTGCACAGAACAGGGGTGTAAGGCAATCCTCTACAGTCTCAGAGTTAATGGATAAACCTTGTGCTAACAGGGTTCGGACTGTGGACAAGTTGCCATTTCCTGCTGCCATATGTAATGGAGGGAATTGATTCATTATACCAAACAGTTCTTCATCCAAGCGTAATGGATTTATGCTGTGAGTGTTACCCATTCTATCAGCCTAAGGTTTAATAGCTCAGAAGAATTTCGGGGAAGATAATAATTATTCTACTTACCCAGAAGACAAGTCTATGTTGATAAGATTAAAACTACGACACCACAAGCTTGATGCTGTGCAAGCAACTTTTGCCTTCTTTGACCAAGACCAACCACAGAACATGAATACTTTGAACTTTGAACAAAGCGTGAGAAAGAGAAATGGACCACTGAGAGAAATGAAAGAGCGTAGCAGCGAACAACAAAATGTTTGTACAAAAATTAGTGGTAAAAGTATAATTACGTAAGGTAAGGTGAGGCACGCCGCAAGGTTTTAGTACCTAATTTCGGCTTAGTTCAACTTTCATCAGTCATTAAAAGTTCATTTGGGGAATTCAATTAAGCACCTTTACATTATCATTTCTTTGATGTTTTAGGAATTTGTACCTACAGAGAATATTATACTATATCATCTACTAAACTAACTAAACACTTCCCGCATGTTCGGCTGAGATTATTTACTTGATGTTTTTCTAAAACCTCTTATTTGAAGTTTCTATCTTCCCGGTTTTTGAATGAAACATTAAGATTAGGTACCATGTATATTACTGTAACATAAACATAAATCAATTAATAAGTATTGTAATTTATATAGGTAAGTACTGTATATTGAGTACCTATACCATACAAAATCAATATCAAACTTGATCAAACGCCGCTTTGTTACTGGCTAAGAAACTGTCAACACGATATTCTCTCAAGCGATACCAACTCAAACTCTTCAGGAGTTTTCTATGCCAATATTATTGCTGGTTGGGATTCTTCCATTCTTCTCTTTTTCGCATTGTATTCGTGTAAACAACCATGCGCATGCGTGTAGAAGCCGTCAGAGCTGGGCAGTATTCGATTTTGTAAATACTTTTTAGTATTCAAATCCTTTAAAGTATTCAAATACTTTTATGGAAGCAGTATTTGTTTTTGTAACTCAAATACTTTCACAAATATTTAGTATTCGAATACTTCGCATAGTATTTGGATACTTCGTAAAGTATTCGAATACTTCGCAAGGTATTTGAACAAATGAACACTTTGAGAAGTATTCAAATACTGGATTCTACAGGCCACATTCTATGAGAAAATTTTGTTCCGGGTCGATCTGAGACAATTTTTTTTTCGAGCCTCAAAAAGAGGCAGTCTTTTTTTCCAAAAATCGACTACACCAAAATTTTTCGGGAAAACACTTTTTCTTATTAATTTGGGTGCGTAGAATCCAAAACAATTCGTACTTTTTCGATCAGACTTCTCAATCAAAAGTTATAGACTAGAAACCAATTTCGAAAGAAAATTCAAAGGGCTGTAACTTTTGAACTAGTAGCCCAATCTTCAAACTGTTTAAAATTATGGACTCTCGATCGATCTCGATCTCAGACAATTTTTTTCCGGCCTCAAAAAAAGGCAGTACTTTTAAGTTATTCAAATATTTGAGAACAATTTAGAAATGTTTAGGGAAAGTTTCCATTGTCACAAAATCAAATATAAAAATCCGATACATCTGAATACCGAACTCGATAGTCTACGTAACTTAAAAACAATAGGGACTTTTCTTATATCCTTAAGACCATTTGTACCATAATTTTCAAAGCGATCGCACGTTTCTAAACAAGTTATCATGCACACGGACAAGCGTATGGTCAAAAATGGATCTGTTCCAAAATCGCTAGGATTAATTTCAGAAAGGCGTACGTATCATGTGCACGACGTACGATCGCTTTGAAAACTGGTACACGTATTCTTAAGGATATAACTGGTTTAAGAAAGGTCCTGGTAGGTACCTCCTATATAATAATATAATAATATAATAATAATAATAATAATACGCTTTTACTCCCCTTAAATTTGTATATAACAATAGAAATATAAAAAAAGCTAACCCCATACAAAGTATAACGTGATTTTTTAAGTAGTATTAAGCCTTTTATCTAGTATACTATTTTAAATTTTTAATGTTTTTGAGTGACAAGTATTTGAATACTTTTTACTGTATTCGAATAGGTACTTATTTTTCAAAGTAAGATAATGAAATACTTTTCAAAGGATTCGAATACTTTTTATAGTATTCGAATACTTATTTTTTTAAGTATTTGAATACTTTTCAATGTATCTGTAGGTATCTAGTATTCGCTTGTGCTGGACGTAAAAGTTTTTAGTATTCAAATACCTTTGATTTGTGTAAAGTATTTACTATTTAGTATTCAAATACTTTTTGAAAGTATTCTGCCCAGCTCTGGAAGCCGTTGAGGTTGCATGCCTCTTGCGATGCCTCCAACAATGCGACAAATCCGGTCTCCGCAGTTGACACTTTAACAGTGAAAGACGAATTTGTTTCCGACATGCCCATGATACAGTATCGAGTCGAGTTCCTTTAGTTAGCATGACCTTTCTCTACACAATCGGGTGCAGACCAGCGCCTCCTTTAGCGTCTTCTGCTTCTCCAGAACTCCCGTTTCTGTCGCAGAAGCGAGCAGGCAGTTGTCCTGGCAGACCTCAAGGTATTCTCTTCAACAGGCGTTGCATCTTCCCAGACGCTCTCTTCATCCTGACCCGCTACGGGAACTGTGGCATACTGAGACACATACACTCAGATAGAGCCACAGCTCATAAAGTTCAGGTCTTTAGCTTTGCAACGCTATGTAACAGCTTTAAACAAAGGCAACAGTAAACGTCAACGCCGAAGGGATGAACGTGGCTTCGATTTGGTTTTGCTCCATACCAGCGTTCAATGGTGTCACAGGGATCGTACTAGAATTAAGGGAGACAATTTTGAAGATAGTTCGTAGTTGCTATGGCTTTATCCCAGAACCGATAGTAGAGTTCGGCCTCGATTAACATGCTCCGAGCCATCTCTACTAAATAACACGCGACCATCATATTATGTACCTCCTTTGCGCTGGTCAGTTATGTCGACTTGACTTATCATAAAACAGAAGAGACGATGTCAGTTTTGTTTTATTACGCCACTGCCAATTATGCCGCGTTTCTCCCCACTCTTATAACTTCCTTTTTATCCATCTCCTGCACTTTTAATGCAAGGTTCTTTTTTTATTTTTTACTCGTAGCATTTTAGGTTGCCACTAATCTCCACAATCACGAATAAGTGAAGTGACGTCACTCACTGGACGTTCATGAACCGAAATTTATTTTTTCAAACGCAGAGTCTCGTAACTTTTCCATTTGTGGAGGTTTTTTAGTGATTCTTTCGAATTTTTGTTTCATTTTCCTTCAATTTTTATAATTAATTTATAAGAAAAAACTGGAAACTTCCATCTATTGCCAAATGTTAATAATAATAATAAACACCTAAGAATTTTAAGAAATCGAAACATTTATTCGACCACCTACAACATTGGATGATTACGATATATTACATATTAAATGATATGATAATAATCAAAACGAAGAGGAAGTATATCCTGTCAAAATAACGATACTATAACTTTATGAGAAATTCTCAAGAGACAAAATAAAAAAAGGATTTGGCCTTAAAGGCTAGCGCATTTTCTATGAATTTATCAGTACTTCCCGAAACGTCATGTAACTATTTATGTACAAAGGAAAATAAGTTATGGCAAAATAATATAAATAAGAAACTTAGCATTGCGCAGTCTGAAAATATGTGATATGTTCGTCTTTACTAGAAGAATCTTTGCTTAAAATTAAAAAAAAAATCTCTGCAAATAAGAAAGTTGATATTGCGCAATGCGCACCTTAATCGTAAAATTTTTCTTGCCCGAGGTGCCAGAGCTAGGAATAAGCTACCGAATGCAAAACGGACGAACTGAATATCTTGAAAATTGTAAGTCGTTAAGGCCTCGGACGGTTGGAAAATGGACTAAAAATGGAAATTTGAAATTGTCAATACACAAAGCTTGGGATTGTATGACATGAGAAACGAAATAGAATTTACGACTTAGATTTTTTAATTCGCTGTAAACCTGTTTCTCAAGGAATGGATAAAATTTTAAGTTCATCAGAAAATTGCTTCAATAGTCCTCGTAACTTCCTAGTAGGAAGTGTATTACTTATTTGTATAGTCTTACATACATTTATGCGTCCATTTTTTAAAATTCAGTTTAGAACACCTTTTCTCGGCCGTAACGCTACAATATTCTAAGAAGATTTCGACTATTAACGCCTAGGCCTTAGGTGTTGCTAGCGAGTAACCTTGGGAACAGGAAAATAGTAATAACAGAGATAGCCAATGGCACTAAAAGCTCTAGGGTGCAAGAAGTGAACTCTGATTTAGTGTTGGGGTATAACTGAAGTGGATGGAATGCATTCAAAACCTGAACCCTCTTACAGACGATATGGGTACCCATTAAAGGGTAATGAAATTGCCATAAGGTCGACAGGCGCTTTTTATAGAAGCCCAACCGTATGTAGAATTGTACAAATAACGGTAGGAAGCTAAGGTTCTACAAAAAGTGCCCTCTGCCTAAAGAGCTAAAGGTCAGTAGGAATGATACAATCTTTTGGTATGTCTCCAAAAAGAAACCTCCACAATATAGGCCTTGAAGCCTCCTTTGCAGGTGCTGTCTGGAGGAAAACTTCTTTTCATCTGTTGTTGCGACACACAAGTTCCTTGGAACTAATAAAGATGCACATGGGAATACTAAAAGATGCAGCTTCCAGAACGGTTTTAGATTTCTTCAAAAATCGACATCTTAAGGGAGCGAGACTGCAACTTGCTGGTACAATAGGCTGATGGGCCTTACCATGGCGGTTGAAGCAACTATACGAAATCTTTTAACTTTATCAAATGGCTTCTTTACGTAAACACACCATTTTTCTTTCTATTTCAAGCTGCATTGTAGTAAATGAAATATTAATCGTGCACATTTTCTATATTTGAACAAATACATATTAAAAGTGATAAGAATAATAAATAAGTATTAAATTCCTCAATCAACAAAAAAACTCTATCATTAAAAATATCATCAATAAAATAAAAAATGAATGTAAAATTCTTTCCATAAATGGTACAAACTAAAATTGTTTCTAACGAAGAAAATCATGAAATTAGCCATTAAAACATCATTAACATTTTGGATTCTATTATGAATTATTATGCTCCTGTATAATTTTTAGAAGAGAATTCGCAATATCTTTATGGTTGTTACTCAAAGCAGTCTGTATTAGTGTTTGTCCTTGATTGTTACAAGCATTTACCATAGCTAAAAATTTGTGGGGATTGTCGTTCCTGACCATTTTCAACTCATCAAGAATTTCGCAGTTACCGTTTTTGGCTTCATCAAATAATTTACCAATTTTCAACAACACACTGGCGATGTCCGTGTTTTTACGCTTTTGAGCACAGTCTAGTGGCTTTACACCGCGTTTGTGGCTACGTACATCGAACATTGCACCATGTTCTAATAGAGAATACACTACTTCGAGGTGATTAAACTTAGAGGCATAATGCAGTGGAGTTACATTGTTATCATTACCAAAGTTGACATTTGCATTGTTTTGAAGGAGAACGTTAACAGTGTCGATGTATCCCTTCCATGATGCATATATTAATGGTGTTTCAAAATGAATACTTCTGCTGTTGACTAACGCACCCTGTTTAATGCAACGTTCGACTTTTGAGTGGTCATTTTCCGTTGTAGCTTTGAACAGGTTGTCAATTAGTTTTAACAATTTTACCAGCTCTTGGTAGTGGAATCTCTCTGCAAATTGTAATGGCAAACCATATTCGCCTATATCAGCCTTTGGGTCAAAATATGCCTTATTCATAAGGAGAGATTTTACTATGTCTAAATTACCAACTTGTGCTGCCAAATGTAAAGGTGTGGCATTGTTATTCATTCTTGCATTAACATCGGCTCCATTTATAATAACGGTGGTAACTACTTTGGGATGAAGATATTGAATCGCCAAATGTAAAGGTGTGCATTTATTTTGATTTTCTTTTGCATTCAGATGGGCCCCATGTGTCACTAGGACGTTGGCAACCAGATCGTGACCTTTTTCTGCTGCAAAATGTAAAGAGGTCCAATTTGTATGATCCAAGGCATTAACATCTGCTCCATTTTTCAGAAGTAATTGAACCACTTGTAAGTGATTGTAGTCTACTGCAAAGTGTAAGGGTGTGGTCTTTTTATTCGTTTGTGCATTGACATCGACACCTCTATCAAGCAAAGATTGTGCAACATTTAAATTACCATCATATGCTGCATAATGAAGAGCGGTCCAACTCCTCTTGTCTACAGCCTTAACATCGGCTCCACTTTTGATTAGGAAATTAACTATCCTTAAGAAATCATGCTCTGCTGCCAAATGTAAAGCTGTCCTACCATCGTCTATTTTTGCATTTACTTTTGCTCCTTTTACAATTAATTTTTCAACAATTTCGGGAGAAAAACCATTGTATGCTGCATTATGTAAAGGACTCCAATTTTGATTGTCGAGTACGTGAATGTTTGCTCCATTATTAATTAAGAAGTCACAAACTTCAAAATGTTTTTGCTGAATTGCCTGATGTAAAGCTGTGAAACCTTCGTTTTGTTTAGCATTAATGTTGGCGTAATTTTTTATCAACAGTTGGACGATTTCATCATAACCATTCTGCGCTGCCATATGCAAAGCAGTAAAATCATTGCAGTCTTTAGCATTAACGTCAATTCCATTTACAAGTAGAAGCTTAACTATCTCAAGGTGATTTCGAGCTGTTGCCAAATGTAAAGGTGTAGCATTTTCATAATCCTTCACATTAACATTACATTTTGCTTCAAGTAAAATTTTTACAGATTCAACGAACCCACCTTGGGATGCCATGTGTAAAGGTGTGACTCTATCCATTGTTTTTGCATTAGGATTCCCTCCCGCTTCAATTAGAACTTTCACTATAGCGGAATTACCAGTCTGTGCCCCAAAATGTAATGGTGTCAGGTTGTAATCAAGCGCATCACTCTCATCCATAGCTGAACATCCAATATTAACATTGGATCCATGCAAAATCAGAATTTTAACCATCTCAAGATTGCCCTTTTGTACTGCCGAATGCAAGGGCGTTACTTGATGGTAATTTACAGCGTTAACTTCTAATCCTTTTTCCATGAGAACATTTACTATGTCCAGATGATTATTTTCAGCCGCTAAATGCAGAGGTGTATTTCGTTTTTCTGTTCTAATGTTACAATCTGCTTCATGTGCAATTAAGGTTTTGACAATTTCTGTGTGTCCTAGTTGGCATGCAGCATTTAAAGGTGTAAGCCCTGACACGATTTTATGATTTATGTCAGCACCACGTGCAATTAGAAAGTTAACCATTTCCAACTGATTTTCATAAATTGCAAAATACAATGGTGTAATGGAATCATATTTAATCTCGGCATTGACAGACAAACCTTGGGCTAACAGTGTGCGAACTAAAAGCACGTCTCCACGACTTGCTGCCAGGTGCATTGGTGTAACACTTCTGCGTTCCTCAAGCTCAGCATGATGAAGAAATAAATTGAATAATTCCATACATAATTGATACTGGTACAAGCTGCTATTAAAGGTATTGCCCATTTTGATTTCTGTAGATACCTGCACATTATAGGTTTCACATTTACTACTATAGCTCTAAGGATAATAATACTTACTCAACTTACTGTAAATCTACTTAAAAATAATAAGTGATGGAATGGATAACATCAGATAAGTATTTCAATACTGGCATGCTATGTAAGCACGATTGTATTATCATGCTATGCAAGCAACTTTTAGAGTTTAGACTTTTGCGTTCTTCGACCAACCACAGATCATGTACACTATGAAACATGAGAAGTTGAAATGGGCCACTTGAGTGAGATATGAAAGAGCGTACCAGGGAACAACAAAATGTTTGCACAAAAATCATAATCGACATCTTTGATCATAATCTATTATACAGGGCCCTGCAACAGTGCGTTGGTCTTTCCTAGCTCATACTGGTAAAAAATATAACAGAAATTATTTTTGAATGTACAGGGTGTTTTTACTGTGTAAATAGACAACTGATTTTTTTTTTAATGAAAGACCCCGTATATTTTTATCCTCTGCATGGAAGCTTATTCACTTTTTGTTTTTTTTTGTCAATGTTAAATTATTAATTTTTCCGAATACTTCCTCATAAGCAGGCTCCACTTTGATAAATCGTAGTGACCTTGATCTTAAAGTTAAGAAATACATTTGATCAATAATGTTAATCTGAATAAAAGCAAGACTTTGGTAATGAAAAAGTTGGATTTGATGATACACGCGGTGTTCACAAAAAAATTTCCAAATTAAACATTGAAGACAGGTTGAAAATGAAAAGAATGGTGCTGAAGTGACATTTTTTTGTCGGCGGACCCGAATATTAAAACGCTAAAATTAAGGGCACTTAAACCGGAGAGGGTGGTCTCATTAAAGACGACCATCCGGACAATTATTGACTAATTAAAGGTTGATTACACTTTTGAAATTTTTGACACATTGAAGATGGAATGTGTTGAAACTTAAATTTTACGGCACAGACAAATATTTAAATGCACCATTTAACGGCTCTAAAACCGAAGAGGGTGCCCTAATTAAAGACAACCAATCGAACGTTGAATTTTACATTGAACTTGGAAATTTTAAAGTTGAAAATATAACACATATTGGAAAAGGGGGGAAGCTACATACAGGTTTCAATTTTCAACTTCAAGTTCAATGTAAAATTCAACGTCCGATGGTTGTCTTTAATTAGGCCATCCTCTATATTATTATACAAATGATAACTAAATTAGGTCTACGATACATAAATAACTAACGATTGATGGCAGTTGAAAAAGGAGAGGATATTAAGTAAGCATATGAGGATAGCTAAATATTCACAGAAACTTGTGTACATAATTTGTTGTATGTTTAGGTATTGTGTACTGGGTTCTGATATTTCTAAGAGAAAAAGTATACAGTGTGTCCCAGATCGCGTGGGATTGCATGGGTAACTTTGTTACTATTAAAGATAGAGAATTGGTTAAATGGGCAATGTTTTGCAGTTTTGGATGCTTATTTAAAATTTCCTTATGGAAATTCAAAATGTAGCATAGGTTCGACGTAAATTCAAAAAAACTAAAATTGGTCATTTTCTTGAATGTCTTATATCATCGAAAGTATAAGAGATATAAAAAAAAGTGTTATATAAAAGTGACTGTCTTTGATACGCTTAATTTAGAATTGATGTAAAAAAAATTCAAGATAGCCACTTTTGAGGAATATTTACCAACTTCCTAAAGTTAAATGGGCACCATATTGGATTTTTAGATTACTTGATAGATTTTTAAATTCTCTTTTCAACGAGCTATTATAACATAAGATTGAAAATAACATACCAGTTATATTAACGGTTTTTGTATTTTAATCAAGTAGTCTGTGACGAATAAAAAAAAACAAAACAAAATCTATTCGAGGCAACAAAACAATGAAAATAATTCACCAGATGTTTAAAATACTGGCCATTATTAGTGAAACACACTTCAAGACAGTTTAGTTTAGGCAACGTGTTGCCATTGATGATGATTATTATTATTGTAGTGGTAGCTACTTCCACTTTACTTTTATTTTTTAATTAAGTACTTACTTTTATAATTTAATGTACTGTACATAATTCGTGAATTGTGACCAGTGCACACAGCTTATTGTTGGTAGGTAGCATAAACTAACCCTTTCTTCGAAACATACGTTGTCGAGAAAAATCCTTTAAGGAAGTTTATTGGACAATTTGTAAATAATGGTGAGCAGTTTCAGATCCAACGAAGATTACCGGCCAATTACATGACTTCCCATTATGCCATAAAATACATTAATTAAAAAAAATATTACTTGATTTCGGCGTGAAACTACAACATGTAGGTTTTCCTGTGACGAGAAGGTATAGTGTTCATTATGTCGATTTGAACACTCCGCAGTTAGAAAAATAAGATTCATATCTGTCCATATACTCGGACTGGTAAAACTGTTAGTTTCGATATTCTTGCGGATAAACCACCTACTGACCTACAAAATGTGACCTGGGACAATGCATCAATGGCAATACATTGTGTAAAATAAAGCAGTGTCTTGAAATATGTTTAACTGGATAATGGCATGACATTTTTTCGAGGGGATAAAGTATCCCCTATTATACCACCATTTGTAGGTATGTAAGTATGGATAATCAGATAGTCAATAAGTGATGATATAAAAATCAAAATTTTTCTAGGCCTACTTATATAAAATTTTGGAGGGAGTTGTAATGCCCAAAGCCCCCTCTCATGAGTGCATCCCTGATTTTTTAAACATCTGATGTAATTATTTTCATTGTTTTGTTGCCTCGAATAGATTTTGTTTTTTTTTTTTTAATTCATCACAGCCTACTTGATTAAAATACAAAAACCGTTGATATAACTGGTATCTTATTTTCAATCTTATGTTATGATAGCTCGTTGAAAAGAGAATGAAAAAATCTATCAAGTAATCTAAAAATCCCATATAGCGCCCATTTAACTTTAGGAAGTTGGTAAATGTTCCTCAAAAGTGGCCATCTTGAATTTTTTTTTGACACCAATTCTAAATTAAGCGTATCAAAGACAGTCACTTTTATATAAAACTTTTTTTTATATCTCTTATACTTTCGATGATATAAGACATTCAAGGAAATGACCAATTTTACTTTTTTTGAATTTACGTCGAACCTATGCGACATTTTGAATTTCCATAAGGAAATTTTAAATAAGCATCCAAAACTGCAAAACATTGCCCATTTAACCAATTCTTTATCTTTAATAATAACAAAGTTACCCATGCAATCCCACGCGATCTGGGACACACTGTATATCAGCTCCTTCTACTACCAATCTAACAAGATCTTCTGGAACAAACGTGTAAAGTACTTAACAATGTAGCAAACGTGAGTGAAACACTATTTTTTATTTTGAGAAAACCAAGCATATTAAGTGTAGTATGACGTAATATGCCTTTATTTTAGTCGCAATCATTTTTCTAATGTTTGGTGAAATGTAAGCTGGGTTCATAATTTTTACGTTTTGTAATACCATTGACTATAGGGGGTATTAGTCAATGGTAACACATATAATAAGTGCATGAATGTCGAACAGAAATATGTACTAGGTATGTTGATTATTTGAAAAATTGTATTTATCGTGTATTGAGTCAATTGTTTCCACACCATTCTAATTTATGGCACTTGTATCTATGGAAAAATATTCGGGATTAAATAATGAAAAATCTCTATAACAAAACTTCAGGTGCAGTGGGTTCCGAAAAAAAAGTAAGAAACATTGTGAGCTAAGAAGGATGTGTTAGGTTTAAACAGGATACGATGGGTATAGAGAGTTGGTTGCAGAAAAATTTGTTCGGAGTTGATCATGCATGCATGATTGATAGGTAGCTACACACCTTCATCAATGTCTTCCACAATCTTTTCTCTAAAGACAAATATATGGGTGAATTTTTTCCACTTTCACTATGAGGATCTCGTAAACCATGAGAGACAGTCCCCTTATCCAGAATTTATGTTGATTAATTATCCTATTCATAATTTCTTGTACCTCTACAAATAGCAAAGTTACAGAAAAAAAAAACCGAAAAACGTCCTTTTCGAAAATGCGCTGACGTTCATTTATTTTCAAAGATATCAACAAATAATTTTAACAAATCCATAGTGATATTTTCTCAGTAATAGATACATGCTCCAAGTAATTATATCTTTTTGTACGCCCTTGGAGTTACTTGAAAGTGAAAAGTGGGGATATCAATGAATATACTTCAATTTAAAATTGATTGCTACAGGTGAAGTGCAAATCAGATTTGTTTTGGTCGTAAATAACGCACTTTTCCTTTTTACGAAGTCTAGTTTTTTGCTTAAAATATTCACATTTTTCAATCCTATCGTTGATGTAGTTTCGTTGCCATCAGACATATAGATTTATTTTCCGATGCAGCTATATATGTAAAAATGTACAATTCACTTCTGAACGGTAAGTAAATTACAGTAGAGTTTTTTGTTAGCAAACTCAAAAACACCGCATGCTATCTTGAAAACAAACCAGGTAATTGAAGTTGTACAAATCAATCATGGCAGGTAAGCCGATATAGGTACCTACCTACAAGTTGAGAATTTCGTTTTCGACTTTATATGATTTTA